TTATCTCTGAAAACGTATTAAAAACAACAACCTAATGGTTTGTTTGGACTCTAAAAAAAATCTGACTTCGTAAAACCTTGAAGCAATCCCAAATATAAAAGTTTGTCAGCATCTTTTATAGGTCCCACACCAGCAACTGTTGCCAAAGTTTGACAGATTAGTGGATCCCATCGGTCCGAGTGATTGATGAGAAGCATTAACCTTGCAAGGTGCAGACAAATGGCGCACGCGCGTGCACACACACACACACACACACAAACTTGATGTGCACGCACACACATTTGTGATAGATACAAGGTGTTTAACTCTGAGGTTTCACACATCAGGATTCAATTAAACAAGTTCTTTTAACCAGCTTTTAAAATGAGGCCAATCCTCCTTCAGACAAACAGCAACTCTTGACATATTCATCCATCTATTAATTTGCTGTTCCCGGTTTGTCCCATTCAGGGTCACGAAGGAGCCGGAGCGCGTCCCAGCTGTCATCAGGTGAGAAGATATTACATTGTGTCAGTATTTATTTTACAAAACGAAGCCAAAATGCAGAAAATCTAAGTGCACCCCAAAATGCAAAAGCTTGCTGAACCACTTTTAGTAGCAGTAGCTTGATGTAATCATGTGCTGTGTGACCTTTCCAGTCTGTTGTGGAGGACTTTTGTCTTTTACAACATTACATAGGTTCGCTGAGGTTTGTGAGTATTTTTTATGTGCAGCTCTGCCACAGAATTTCAATCAGACACGAGTCTGGACTCTGATGTCTTATTGCATGGTCCAATTTGGACCCAACTTCAGCTGTCAGACAAATGGCCAAACATGGTTCTAGAGTGGTGTGCAGAGAAGGCCCAAATCATCATCTCTCCACACCATACTTCATAATGTATTATCATGTTTGTTTTATTAAAATATAATGCTGTGGTTATGACCATGCATCACTCCTGTCCAAAAGGCACGACTCTGGATGTCATTTGGTACGTTCAGAAGCAAATTTGCAAACTATTGTCACAGAGACAAACAAAAAGAGATTTCTAATACATCATCATTTGAAAACTTTAACAACGTTTAACGTTAAGAGACTCCTGCAGAGAGTCTGAAATAAAGCTCCAGGGGGTGCATTTAATCTATGGACATCACAAAATATAACATTAGAATTTGATAATCAGAAACATGATTAAAGTATTAATAAAATAAGAAAATGTCAAATTGTTTTGACCAATTTGCACAAAAACACACAACTAAATAAATTAGACTTCTGAAAGTCTAATAATTTGTAGATACTGCCATCCAGATATCTTTCATTTTATAAAATTATTATTGTTATTGTTATTATTATTATTATTGTTATTATTATTATTGATTGCAATTATACAGAACAAATCTGGTTAACCTCAGCTATAAATCCAAGACTTTAAATAATTTTAAATAATCTGCCTGCAGGTTTTTCTTGATCTCCCACCACTGCAGACACTAAGAGAGGGAAAAAACTGGATAATGAGTCTGACGACTTCAGGTAAGATCCTCAAGACTGCATGAATCACAACGTGGATCAGATCACAAGCAATCACATTTCTATGTCTCACTGTGAATTTGCATTCGTAGCCTCGCCCACTCTGGCTTGCACCCTCACAGGAAAGCTTTTTTAAAACAATTTTTTTGCAGCGATGAAAAAAGTAAAGTGTCTTGGTGATATTGACGTTGCATCATGGGTGAGCGTGTTCTGTTAGCCAATCAGAAGCTATGTGTGTGCAGATCATTAATAAGAATGAGCAATCCTGTGTTTTCAGTCCATCTCTGCACTGAATAGGAGCATCATAGCTTTCTTTAAATGACTCATAGGGCATTAATTTACACTGGAGAACACTGCAAATGTATTGAATAAATGAGTTAACCACACCATTAACTCTCTGGAGGCAGGTGTTGCAGATTTGCTACGTTAAAACCTACCTGGTTACTCCACATACGTATATCATGAGCATGTTTTAACTCAGAAGTGCCCCTGAAGGACTTAGTTGTTCGTCCTTTTTTCAAAACTTATTTTGAGCCTGAGAGGGTTAAGAACTGATTCACTGCCACAAAGCAGTAATAGAAAATACTGCTTATCAAATAATTTTTCCAATAAAGTCTTAAATGTCTTGCACATCCTTTAATGATTACAGTTGGATTTATCTCTGAGGAATTGTGTTCCAGAGACGTGATTTAGGGTTTTATATTAAAGTGATGTGTTAAAGGAGCCTTAGAATAAGTTAAAATAAAGAAAAATGTCTTCTAGGCTATTCAGCCTAATAATTCACAATGAATTTCAATCACATTCAAATCATAACAAATGGAGTTTGAAGTGTTATACTAGTCAAATACAGTGAATAAATCTGGTTAAATGCTTCTAATTTAACAAGCATGGATGAGAATAAGGAATGCCTGCTCTACCTGCCAAAGTTTAAGGCCCAATTACTGATTAAGAAATCCGATCAAGTTCAGCTGCCTTTTTCCTCCTTCATCCATTCATTTTTCACCACATCACCAGGGTGAAATCAGGCAGGCTGGCTAGAGGCTTTAATATACAGAGTGGATCGATAACAGGGGAACAATCGTTGCATCCCATGGTACCTGTGGATGAGCTGGCTTCTCTCCAAGGTGCTGATCCTCCCAACAAAAACAAACTCTAATGTTATTTATCCTGAATGCACAATGTAGTGGAAAAGAAAACAAATTAAAAATCCCTGGGCTATAATTATATTAGGATGACACACCTGTCACCAGACTTTACCTCCTCCACACGCCTCACACTCGTGGAAAAACTGAGGTCTGCATTCTTGCTTTTGCTGATACCAGGCCTTCAGCATCCAATTATTTCACTCCTTTAAATGCCTCCACAGCAAAACGACTTCAAAGGCCCGTTCATTCGTTTTCTCAATGTAGGACGGGATTTTATTCTTTTATTTCTTTGTGGTTCTTCTTCTGCAGTCGGCGGCGTTGCCCAGAAAGCAATTCACACTCTCTAAATGTATCCCTGCCTCTTTTCTCTGATTATTCTAATCCGAATGTCTAATGCTGCAGGACAGGTAAAACTAATGGGGGGAAAAGGTCACGTGGTGCCGAGACCCGTCTCCTGGCAAATGGAACTTTGTGAACGATATTCTTCCAAATCTGATCGTCCTGTGGCTGCTGGACATCACTCGCTGAAGAGTCCCTGAAGAGGAAGATTCAGCCACTTATCTCCATCCATCCTTTTTAGTTCTTTCAAAATCTTTTGTGTGTGTAATCTTTTGAGAGCAAATTGGTTGCGGCCATTGTGTCTGTTTGTGCAGCTAAAAGCCCCAAAGGTGACTACGTAATTCCATTTAATCAAAATAGAATTTCCTATTTAGAATTTATTTTCTGCTCATTGCAGTAAAATAAAAAAAATAAAACTAGAAGAAACCAAAAGGGAATCCTAAATTCTGGGTCTGGTTAATTCATTTCACATTCATTGAGGTAATTTGTGTCTGCTCAACTCTGATGCTGCTGGATTTCCAGTTTAATAGAATGTTAAAAGCATAATTTTATGCCTGGTTTACCCCATTCTTTTTATTTTTTTTAGATATAGACAAAGTTGGATGTATGTTTTCTGTTAGATTTCTGGATAACACTTTCCAATGAGGGTCACTTTATTATCCCTTTAATGTTATTTAGTGCATTATGAATCACTAAACTATTAAAGTATTAACAATTGCATAACCATATTATATAATGTATTAGCAAGAATTTTGTCCTAACCTTAAGGACACATTATAGTTAACAGTAATGGTAATGTTAATAAAGGGAACCTTTTATTGTAAAGAATGACCAAATTTGGTTGTACTGAGCTCATCTGAATACCACAAGTGCCACAGAGAAAAAATACAAACAGGGAGTTCTTTTGCAGGATCCCACAAATGGTTATTACAAAAAGTAACTCAGGATCATGCAAACTTAACTTGGGATCCTGCAAAAGTAACTTGGATCCGACAGAGTAACTTGGGATCCTGCAAAAGTAACTTGGATCCGACAGAGTAACTTGGGATCCTGCAAAAGTAACTTGGATCCGACAGAGTAACTTGGGATCCTGCAAAAGTAACTCAGATCCTTCATAAGTAACTTGGGATCCTGCAAAAGTAATACAGCATAATACAAAGGTAACTCGTAGTCATGCAAGATGTCATGATTTTGAGTTGGTTGCAATAGGACCCAAACGAAGGTGAGCAGGAAGCCTAGCAGTTAAAATAACTGTTGAATGACGGTAGGGAAAATGATAAAACAGGAAGACAAGACGGGGATTTAAATACATGTGTGTAATCAGGAATCAGCTGGGTAGGATAACAAGGGACAAGTGAGTCCAATAAATTTCTTTGGTGTGTTCTTGCTGTGTTCAGTTTCAAATTCCATCCTTCAGTTCAGAAAGGTGGAGTCCAATAAATACTTAATAGGGGAGACAGACATGTCAGAGGGAGAAGGAGCAGATCCTGACACAAAGGAAATTTGTAATCATGCAGAAGTAACTTGTGGTCATGCAAAAAAATAACTTGTAATTCTGCTAAAGTAACTTGTTGTAATATAAAATTAACCTGTAATCCTGCAAAAGTAACTGGTGGTCATGCAAAAAAATAACTTGTAATTCTGCAAAAGTAACTTGTGGTAATGTAAATGTAACCCGTGATCCTGCAAAGGTAACTTGTAATCCTGAAAAAGTAACGCAAGGTCATGCAAAAGTTACTTGTGGTCATGTAAAATATCTTGCAACACTGCTAAAGGAACACGGAGGTTTTGAGAGATCTAAAATCTAAAAACTATTGCATTGTCTTGCAAAAGTAACACGGGATTTTAAAACATTTTCAGAGATTTCCCCCAAATAATTTGGACTTGGCTACAGTAACCTGAAATGTGTCAAAGCTTTTTTGGATCTCACAAAATCTAAGTTTGGACCTCGCAAATGTTTTTCCGCATATCCTAAAAAGCATAGTTACTAGACAAATACAACCATCATGAGCCAAAGTATCAGGATTTTTTAATCTATTTCAAATGCTGGTTACAATATTGTCAAGAAAATTCTGTTTTGATAAGTGTGTGTGGTCTTAATAACGCTATTCATGCAGTTTACAGACACACCAAGAGGCACGAAACATTGTTCAATAATGTCAAATAACATGGATGAGTGAACAAACAAGCATAACAGGTCTAAGGTTGCTTCAGTGACGCACGTATATACATTAAATAACTTGGTGTAACTAAGCACTGAGCAGATAAAAGCATCCTTCTCAAGGGTTTAAGATGTGAAAATACGTTTTTCTCCTACACTAAATGGTAACATGGTTGAGAAATCTTATTTATAAAAAAAATCTTCCCAAAACTGCAAACTACAAGAAATGCGGAAGAGTTCTAACATAAATACATTTGAACATTGAGGCACATATACATGGAACCAACTAGCACAAGATTAATGTTCATTATTGGTAAAACTATAAGAAAGAATTTGCTGTAGAAATATGAAAGACTGGTTTAAATCAAGAGACAGGATTAATCTCAGGGAGTAAATTCAGCCCTTTTTACAACAGAAAACAGCTCATTTCAATCAAAGTGTTTCTGTGAGCTGCAGAGTTTCCACTGCAGGTTTTAAATGTTTAACTATACTTTTATTAGTTTAACACCAGAGCCTGGCCAATAACAGCTTCTATAAGGTAATACGGCTGTAATAATGAACGTATTAATGACTCAAACTCATCCAGTTTGTTATGTTCAGAAGCTCCTGAATTTAAATCACACACCTATTCTTGGTTTAAAAAATTCCAACCAGAACAGGAAAGGAAATTTGCCAGTTTGACCCAAAACAGCTTTGGGAGTTGTTTACATTTCTGCTTAAATCCCAGACGTGCTTGTTTTGGTCAAAGTTGCTGGAGCTCAGTTATGCTCAGATCATGTTTTACACTTTTAAAGCAAACACTGCAGGAAGGACTGCTGCTGTGCAGAATCTGACTCCATTGTTGGAGAAGACTGTGTTCTGTATCAGTCAGGCTAAACTAAAGACTGTATAACACACAGTGTACCATGGGGATGTGTGTGAATGAAACTCTACCAGCAGTGATTGTCACCAACACTAATCCTGAGAAGTGCATGAAATAAGGGAAGAAAAGACATCAATTTCTTTTTGGTGGATTCATTGAAAAAAAAAAATAAACATAAAAAATAACAAAGTCGATGTTTCCCAAAGCTTAGACACACAGACCTGTGCGGAAATGTTGAGCCACTTTTCATTTCTTTATAATTTAGCTTCAGAAGATCATAAAGAAACAGAAGGTGACTCTGAACATTTACACCAAGAAACACATTAGTATCTTAAATCTCAGCAAAAGGTAAAGTTCAAGGCCTGTCAGCGGTCTGGAGTACAAAAATATATATCAACTTGAAATGTCAGCTTTGGAGCCTGAAGCTGTGTGATATTCATCTGTGAACACAACTCAAGGCACCTGTGTGTGATACCGTCAGTTAGTGTGGTTCGATAAAGGGAGAAAATACAAAAATACAAATTTCCAAACACTGAAAGTCTCCCCCCACACACACCGGCTGAAAGTTTTATATAAGAAAACTAATATCAGTTGTTTTAATCCTGAAAATGTAAATCAGGTCTGACGAAAAGCTTTAATGTGACTCAAAAAACAATAAAAATTAAGGCTTTTATTCTGATTAATGTTTTATAAATAATGGATCCTTATAAAAGGAGTCATAGCAACTGATCTGTGTGTATGTGACCATCTAACACCACACAAAATACACCAAAAAACGTGTCCACGCATGTTGTCATGTAACAGAAACAATAAAGCTGCAGCGGTCTGTCTGAGGACAGATTTATAGTCTTTCAGAGGTGATGATGCTTCTGTCTGCTGCTAGTCTCATTCAGGTAAAACTTATCCAAACATGAAGGAGGCTGATCGGATGGCCAGCAGATCCCGCTTTCCGTTTTTTAGAGAATTAAGATCACACTTCTTCAAAGAAGGCCATCTGAGACATGTACGCAGAGTTTCGCTGCAAAACGAGAGTCAGAGGATAAAACATTGTAAACGTGTTTTCATCTGAAGGTTCTAGGATAAAATCTAAAGACTGTTTTGTAATTGTGAATGCTCTGGAATACGATTAAGCCAAAGAAAATTACGTATTTTTCTGCAATATTCTGTAAAAAAAAACAAAAAACTACTAGAACAATTTAAAATTAGGGAATTGTTGCTCATAATTATCTAATAGCAGGAAATACCGTAAATCCTCTAATATTAGCCTGTATTTAATTAACTGCCGGGTATCATATTTTGGCCGGTGTTGGAGTCGGCGGAGGTGAATAATGGCCGTTTTTTTATTGTGGCCGGGTGGAATGTGGTAACAAGCAAATACGGGGTGCGGTTGTGTCATCCGTCTCACCTTTGATTTGCCAGTGATAGAACGCAAGGGTAACTTTAACCGTGCTGAGACGAAGAGGAGGCGAAAATTTGATATCAAGTTCAAAGAGAACATGCTGATTATGCTGCAGAACACTCTGGGGAGCAGTAGCAGGGGTTGTATGAACTAGTCACTAGTCGACTTCACCGCTCTGTAGTGACTTTTTATGCCTGTCATCGACTAGTCGCTGTCACGTGATAATGACCGGCAAGATGCAGTCCACGGAAAAGACAGCAGCCTGCTGTCTGCAGGTGACAAGCTCCTGCGCATCGGGAGGCAACGCGCTGTGCCAGAGCGTCGGCACTGACACCCACCGTAAAACGGACATTTAACCAAATTGTGACCAATTTAACCTTCCCCTCACCCCCATCCTAACCTTAACCAGCTTGTGCATGCAAAGCTCTGATTGTTGACGCGCTCCAGACATCTGCGTCCTGAGCACGGCCACAGTAACATTATCCAATCAGGTGTCGCCACCTCAAAAACTAATTTAACACGCGATCGTTCATATCGGCTCATTTCCTTTTATGTTTTTTGTTTTTTTATTCTTTTATTTGTGCCTGATGCGTTTCGCTGCTGTGGATCAGGGCGCATCACCTGTTTTGTCCTCAGGGACGCACCTAACTGATGTGGCCGGCGAGCACTCCGCTGTTTTTGCGGTCGGTAGATCTTTTAAAACTGCAGTTCAAAGGTAACTCATGAGGTGAATATATATGAACCCAGGAAGCAGTTTTTCTTTAGGATTGAGAGGAGATGCAGGAAGATAATAAACAGGCAGGACAGAAAAATAGTCAAATAAAAACAAGTTAGTTTTTGTACCTGGTGGTTGCAACAAACAGACACCATTGAAGGTAATCAGAAGTGAGAAACAGAAAATGAAATAATTATTTTAATGTTTAGAGCAGCAGGAACTCTGAGAGGCTGCAGGCGCATCAGTGAGTTTGCGGCCGCTGCGCAGGGGAGGGGGGAGAGGGCTGAAGCAGAAACTACCGTTGTTAAAAGAAATGTGTTTAACTTTGAAAATGTGGGCGCAATTTTAATTGTCAAAAACTCCAGCGAAACATTAGTTCATTTTGCTTAAATAGAAATTGAGGCCTGCCTCTAATTCTGGTCCTCCTTCCAATAAAGGCCTGGAGCGTGATGAGCTTGAGTCAAATACAGGCCCGGGCCTGTATTAGAGGATTTACGGTATCTTGAGTTCCACTTTTAAAGCCACTGATAATAGTAAAAACAGTCATCTATGGTGTTATTAGAACACTCACGTTGCTGTGAGGTATGTAGACAGGTTCTTGGACGTATCCTCTGGCCTCGCCGTGGAGGCCGTACACGCCGGCCTGTTGCTGTTGCTCCTCCAGCTTCAGAGACTCAATCTCTGATTTCAGCTCTTTCAGCTGGTCCTGCAGGTGTTTGCTCTTCTCCATGTACTCCAGCCTGCATTTGTGCACACAAACATCAGCAAACGCACCTAAACTCACCGTCTCACAGGGGTCGTAATCACAATCTCACCTCTCCCTCTCAATCTCCATCGACAGTCTCTTCATGTCGGAGTCCTTGAAGTCGAGACGTTGATTCGCAGACGCTGATTCACAGCTGAAGTCAGCTGGTTCAGGAGGAGCAGGGGGGGTGGAGTAGGCGGCTATGAGCTGGAGGAAAGGCAGCATGTGTCAAGATGCTTAAAATAAAAAAGGGTCACACTCGACACACCACTCAAAGCTTGAATTAATGCACATTACTGGTGTGTCATCATATTAAACCTGTCACTACCATTTAACAGCTCCAAGGCTGATGAAGACACACAAATACCAGCTAACTATTTAAACGCTTAAGAAAAGTTAAGAACTGCATTAATCCACATAAAAAGCAACATGGCAGCATCCTCATGATAACAGTACGGGGTATGTTGTCTTGGTGATCTCCAGCAGCTTCTGCTTGGCTCTTCGTTCGGCATCTTTAGCTTCTGTTAGGTCCTGCTTCAGGTGATCAGCCTCCTTCAGCCTGGAAACACAGACTTAATTAGTTTAATTCTAACGGAGGAGTAAAGTCAGAACTTTATGTTGACAAAATACATTTTTAAAATGTGTAACTGCAGAAAAGTTTTGGACTGGAGGAGAAACAGAGAAATAGTTATTTTTTATTTAATTGCTGCGTAAATAATGACGTATAAACTTGAATGGCTATCCTCATTAGCACAGCCTGCTGATATAATTAATTTAAACATCCTAAATGAAAAAGAACCTCAGACCTTAAATAAAAAGTAATCAGCGATTAAACTATATCTAATCAGTCTGGTTTGCTGCAGATGCACCAGCTGAATCTAGTATTAGACTAATTACAGGTAATTAAAGGATAGCAAAGACCATGATCTTTGTTCTAATTTTAAAAAATAGCACAAATATTTTAAATCTAATTGACAAAATAGTTTGTGTCAATTGTAAAAATGCCTTTTATTAATGTTTGTTCATCTGAACTGAACCCATAATTGAGCCAGTCCTCTTATGGCATTCACATCTGGGTCAGCCCGTCCCCACACGACCAGATTTTGCTCACACAGCCATCTCAGGATTTCTCTGAGAACGTGGGTGGGGTAAAAGGGGTGCGGAGAAGTCTGTGGTGTCTTCTTTAAGTTAGTATACAAAGGCGTGAGCAGTGTTGCTTTTGGAGACTCTGATGTGAAGCACACAGCTTCCTACTCTCTCACTGAGCAGCAATGCTGCCGTGGGCTCTTCTCACAGCAGACGGCTGGTCTTCACGCTCCCACAGCCAGAGCGTTCGGTCAGAGAAGACGTTTACCCCATTGCATCCAGACTGATAATGAATCGTGCATGCAGGAAGCCACCTCTACCCGATTCTACCTGCCAATCAGAAGCTCCCTCCAGTAGGTAGGCGTGAACTTCAGCCGGCTAATCAGTCGGTGTGTTAGGTCGGCTCCGCATCAAGCTGACTGCCAAAAACGCAGATTACCCAGATGTGAACACAATTACCCTCATTGGGCTAGACCGGGTCAACCCATATCTGAAAGCTTTGGTTGTTTCTGTTCTTTAAATCTTGCGATCTCAAATGGCATCAACTTTTACTTTAACTTGTCTGATTCTCAGGTCTTATTATATGAATTTGTCAGGATTGACAAGAGAAAAAAGCAGTCTTGTATTTAGAAAAAAGGACTGGCTCGCTCTGCTACACCGTTTTGCTGCCGTTCACCGTGAAACTATTAACTCAGTAATAAAACCAGATCAGTGATGTACTCTCAAAACGCCCCACCGCATGTTCAGCTGTGATTAACAGCACTTAATCATCGTTTTTGTATCATTTGTGCCACTTAAACTTTAATGCATCGAGCAATCCACACATAAGATCAATGTGACATAATGAAAAGCTACTTGTAAAGATCATTTCAGACCTTCTCTCAGACTGCTCCACCAGTTTTACAGCCAGCTGCTCTGCCTCTCTCATCTTCTGCTCCATCAGTCTTTTCTCCTCTTTGGTTTTCATGGCCGTGACCTCTAACCTCTGCCTTTCTTGCTCAGCGTCTGCAGCTTTGTGAGCTAAAAGTTTGGCCTCCTCCTCAGCGATCTGAGCCTTCTCAGCCAGCAGGTCTGCCGTCTCCTCAGATCTCAGCTGCGTCGTAACGTCCAAGAAGCATTTTTGTCAAAAAAATAAATAAATAAATAAATTAATGAATTATGAGGAAAATCTTTAAAATACAATGATTTTTCTTTCATTAAAAATCTCACCAGCGCCTCGTTGGCGAGTCGCGCCTCGTCCTGCAGCTGGAAAAGCCTTCGCTCCATTTCCTCTTTTGCTCGTTCTGCATCCTCCCTCATCTGCTTCTCCCGTGCCAGGATCTGTCTCTCCATCTACAGGCCAAGAAAAGTTGCACAAATAAACCAAATGTGTACATATTGTCCATCCAGATGACCAAATGAGACCAACCTTTTTGCGCGCCTTCTCCTCTTTAGCTTGAGCCTTCATCTGCTGCACTTCAATTGTGTCCACCTTCCTCCTCCTCATGAACAGATCGTGGTTCCCGATGCAGAGCTGCAGGATCTGGACACAAAGGAGGACTAAACTGTTGATTTTTGCTTACTTAACTACGAAGTATCTCCACATCCAAACAGGCAAACCCACCAGCTTGTTGACGCGCAGCTGAGATGAGTAGAATTTGAAAACGTCATTTTTTTTCTCTAGAGGTTTGATTGTAAACTGCAAGAAGAGAAAATGGAAACTTTTTGTCTAGTTTTTGCTTCAAAAACACTAAACAGTAATTATTTAGCTAAGATGGCAAATGGGATTCAAATTCAAAAAGAAAATTTGATAAAACTAGCCCAAGTCACAAGTTTTCATTTGCTTTTGCCAACCTCCTTCTCACTGTAGGAGATATTACGGATCCCGCTCCAAGGGAAGGACTTTTTGGGATTGAGTTTGCTGTTGGGGCTGTATATGTGAAGACCCTGAGCATCAACACCAAGTAGCAGGTCTGTGTCCCTTTTATTTTGCTGTGACAGACACAATATTTATGTTAAAGGTTGAACTTTGAATGACAGCACGTAAATTGTAGCGTCATAGTCAGCAACACTCACAGTGATGGCAAAGTAGCTGACGCCATACATTTCAAGGTCCTGAGCAATTTTTAGGTATTCCATCTCAGCTTCGTCCCTGTCAAGAGAGAACAGAACACCTTTAATTATAGAGGTAGGGCCACACCTTTTAGTGAAGCTTTAAATCTTGGTGCGAGTACCTGGCAATGCCTCTGTGTTCAGCATACCAAGCTGTGATCTTCTCCTCCCACATGACGGTTGTCATTTGGTACTGCATCAGAACCTGGGAAATGAAAACAAGGTCACTAAACACACAGACTAACAACAAATTAATGCTTTTTTTCTTTAAGGAATCTGAATGTAACCCTACACCCCTACACTTTTTGGCAACAGCTCATCCTGTGCAAGGAAACCTAGCTTGTGAAAGTTTGGGTCGTAGTCCCCGTACTGAGGAAAAGAAAGAAAGAAAGAAATTGATTAAAAAGACTTAAAAATGGGTTGTTATTGACATTTGTTACCTACAGGAACCCCAAGCCTTAGCTGGTTGTCTCACCTTTGCCTGGACGGCGTAGGACGCCAAAAGAACAGATGCTTCAGGAGAGCAGAAGATCTCTTCATCTAATATCTGCTTTTTCACCTAAAGCAGAGATGCGTGTGGATTAAGTTACACAGTCATTTTCTTTACTAGTTTATTTTAACCAAGAGGATAAAAACTCCCTCAAAACCTTAATCTATCTAACAAAAGATGAACTTGGTTGTTGTAAAATGCATTCTACCTGTAAGAAGAAGAGGTGTTGGGTAATTTCTTGAACCAGTTCCTCTTCTACTTTTTCAGGGAAGAACTTGGCTTGGAAGTGAAATGTTATGGGAGAGTCTTTGGGAACCTCCTGGTCCAGAACCTTGTTGAACAAACAATTGAAGAGCTTAATAAACTCAGACTTTTCCCACAACATCATGCAAACAGTCAGTGCAACTAGCAGCCAGAAAATGTAAATTAATAATGTATCAACAGTTTAAACTGAACTGTTTAGCATTCAGATTTCACTCTTGGTATATTTTTGCATCTTTATTTACTCATTTGAAATCACACACAGCTCTTCACTTACCTTTTTCTCTAATTTCAGCCAGGCATGGGTGTCCTTCACGGTGTACCTGAGTCCAAAAAACCAGGTCTCTCTCAAACCAACAGTGCGACACACCAGGTCAAACAGGTCTTTCCCTTTCCATTTAACCTGAAAAAAAAAGTACAACAGTAAAGAAAACCAATAAGTCGCCACGGATGTTTAAATGTTCATAATTTAATGTTCATATTTCAGTCACTTCATGCAAGTAGCACTGTTGCCCCCTACTGGGAGTCTTGGGGTCAATCAGCAGCATTTAGGCGCATAATTCCAATTTCAATATTAGTTTTTCACAACTACTGTTAAACACTTTTGGTAACACACACTAAATCTAAACAATATTTTTATTTCTCTGAGGAAACATCATTAAATCTAAAAATTAGACACAATCGCTCTTCCTGCGTTTCTCCTCTCCACGATCTCAGAAATACACACTTATAAATACATTTAAGTCAGAGACTGAAGTCTTCTTTTTTTTTCCCCAACAGGAGACCGACAGCTGATTTCTGAGCTTCCCCTCTCCAGCAACAAGACCTGACTAGAATGGGACATGAAGGGCTGTGCGACCTGAATCTTAAATCTCATTTACACAAACTGTTGGGTGTTTCACCTGACCAAAGAAGGAGAAACAAGTTCACTGGGTCATCCAAGCAACACATTTCAGTAGCACTGCTTCCAAATATTGTCAAAGAAATAAATGATAGAGATAAACGATTCCAGTACAAGGCTCTAGTTAAAAACTTGACAATACTTTCTCTCTTTTTGCATGATGGAAAGTCTGACTGATGAGTGAAGCTACTTTCAGACTGTGAACTTTCTGCCTTAATTGATCACAGACCAGTCAGGACCACAGTTATCCATTAAACAGCAAACCTAATGTTTATCCAAGATGACTGTCATTTTTCAGAAGGTATGTGTATTTGATTGGAGCTACATTGATAAGCTTTTTTTATTCTTTACTGGATGTAGTGCAAGGATGGAAAATTCTGCACATTATGATAAACAAAGATAAAAAAAGGGGTTGATTCAGGCTTTGTTTTAGCAGTTTTTGTTAACTTGAGTCAGATTCCATAGAGCCTATTAAACCGTCACTTTAAACGATTGAACCATTAAAATGCTCTAAAAAATAAATGTCAAAGTGCATTACACAAAAAGGAAACGATTCATACCTCACAACTAAACTCCATTTCAGCATCCATAGTGATGACTTTAACTTTGAAAGTCTTTGGCTGTTTCTTCTTTAATCCCAAGATAGACATTGTGTTGTTTCCAATAAAAAAAACTGGAACAAAAGAGCTGTTTATAGAAAAATAATGATAAAAACACTGTTTATACACCTTCATAGTATAAGAACAAGTACAAAACAAAGTAGCCTCCAACTCAACTCTGGTTTCTGAACTATAAACATAATTATTTTATCGAATTACTTTACATATACACAAAAAAGGACATTGCTTCTTTAAGATTTGTTGACTTGGGCCATTACCAGGGAGTGAGTTTAAAAGTTCTGCCGTCCAAAAACGTTCAGAAGAGGTTGGCTAATGCTAAGCGAACTCCGCTAACTTTAGCGTTTTTTCCCAGCTATGACACAAAAACAGACTCAAACGTGCTGTTCAAAACGAGGGTCTTTTGGGACACTTCCATACTGAAATGTACCAAATAACTTCGATGAAAGTTACACTTGTATCAACTATTACGACGCTATCGGTTGCTATGAGTATAACTAGCTTGCTATTAAAATTCAAAACGACTTTCCAGAAGATTTTTGTTTTGACTCCACAGGTGGGAACATGTATAACTTGGGAATACTGCGAATGCGCATGTGCAAGAAAACACTCGAATGCCTACTTCAGGACGTGTCGGAAACATTAATTAAAACTGTTTTTACTTCTTTTTTTTAGGATGTTAGTTGTCAGCGAACAAAACCTGTGTCGAACTGATTTTAGGAAGAAACTATTTCTGCCTCTCTGTGTAAAATAAAAGTGCAAGAAAACAAAGCGTTTCAGACAGCAAATAACTGGGTTAGATGTGTTGAAACAAACATAGTTTTGAGAAGGCATCGCTCCTGACAGACATGACTGAGGGAATTGTGAACCCACGCCACTCTTTCTACCTCTTCCTGGATCACTTGGTTTATTGTAGCGAATATGTTGTCTGGTGTTCAGTGACTACGTTAAAAAGAAAATATTTATAAAAATAACTAACTAACGAGATTACTGTTGGTAAATACGTTATTTTGCTGTCTGTGCAGTTTGACAAGGTATTTGTAGAAGGAAGCTGAACGAACCACAATTTAAGTAGACAAGTGAACGGTAAAAAGAAAAGTCACTTGGATTTAATGTCAAATAATTTGCTTATCAGTAGTTTAAATGGCATTAGTTAACTAGAATTGGTTTGGTTAGTGTAAACATTCCAATCTACTTTGGCAAATATTTTAAAAAGCACTACCTAAAAACTGCAATCTGCCAGTGTTTTTGACTATCCTTTTTAAACAGGGTTAAATATCATGTCTGCTGACAGAAACACATTTGAAAACGTGAAAGCAGTTATTTTATCAGCTCATAAAGGCGCCACATCAAAAGAAAAGGTCAGCTTCTACAACACCTGGGCAGATAATTATGATCAGGTAAGGAAAATTAAATTAGATCAGATCAAAAAATATGCTATTTTGTGTTTCATGTTGATAAAGTAATCCCAGAGCCACATGTTGTTTCATAAATAATAAATGAAATGTTGTCAGGGTTTTCCATAAAAAACAAAACTGCTATGAGGAGTTCATGCAAATAAAAATGTTTAAATATCAGCGTATGTTTGTCACTTTCTTGTATTTTGATTAGGATGTGGCTGTCTTGGACTATCGTGCACCACGTCTGGCAGCAGATCGCATCTCATCTTGTTTCAGTGGAGTGAGAGAAGAAGCTACCGTGTTGGATGTGGCCTGTGGGACAGGACTGGTGGCTAAACAGGTAACTGATCCAAATATTGGACTTTGAATGCGGATGGACGCGGTCAGACGAACACAATCACTTTCAGTTTGATTGATATCTATTTTGATTCTTTTTGTTGCACAGATGAAAAAACATGGATTTAGACATTTTGTGGGTGTTGATGGAAGTGAGGCCATGCTGGAAAAGGCCAGGGAGAGTGGGCTGTACCAGGAACTGAAGCAGTCCATGCTGGGGGAGGATTCATTATCTGAAGTGTGGGGTAATTAAATCTACATTAGCTTTTCTGTGTCATCAATTAATTTGCACATCATACACTGTATTTTTGACTGTTTCAAATCGAATGATCTTATTGAATGCTTTTTTTAAATTATTGGTATTACCAATCATTTTATGAATGATAATCACTGACTTTTGACTGAAGCCATTTATCTCCTTCTCACCTGCAGCAGGTTCCTTGATGTGGTTCTGATAGTGGGAGCACTAAGTGTTGGCCAGGTCTCCATTAATGTGATCAGAGAACTCTGCAATGTCACCAAATCAGGTCAATATTCCCTTTGTACTTATTTTGCTTCATCTTGACCAATTTAATGTTTATGGTCTCTGCTTCATCTTTCCACTAGGTGGCTGTGTTTGCATGACGACTAGAAGTAACCATGACAACTTGGAATATAAAGCTGCTCTTGAGCATGAGCTGAAGCAGATGGAGGAAGAAGGACTCTGGACTTGTTTAGAGGTTACAGAGGTGCAAGACTGGGAGAGGGCTGTGACAGAGCAGGAGGATGGATACATATCTGGAGCTGTTTACATCTATAAGAAACTCTTAACACTACCAGGAAGTAGGCAAAAACACTGTTTAAGGATGTGCATACGTTTAGGTGTTTACATGTCTGAAGAAAGTTGTTTTTCAAGTGCTATTGGTCTTATGTTGCCAGAACCACGCTGAAATGTTCCAACAGATAAGATTTATATTAAAACTTTTAAGGTTAAAATATCTGGTTATAATGTTAAACCAATCTGACAAAAGTGAAGTCAACACAAAAGTGAAAACAAATTCTAGTTCCCACCTCATCCAATCAGGGTTGGCACCAAAAAGGAGCAAGTTCCCATTGACTTACATGTTAAAATGCCAACTTCACAGCAGAAAAAAAAAAGTTTGCAGACTGATACAAAAAACATTTTAGGGTTAAAGCTGTTAAGGCGAATCTACAAATAAGCCTAGGTTTTCAACGCAAACACTCCTCCCTTCGGACATCTTCCCAGGATTCACTTCCACTGGAACCAGAAACCCACATTGCCAGAGGAAACAAGAGAGCGCTAAACACTAGTTGCCGTTTTCTCTGTCCAAATGTCTTTTGTTGTGCGTGACTGCTAATTATGATTTTCTTTCTAGTACTCTGGTAGTTTGTCTTAAAGTTGAAGTGGTAGCAGCCGGCTGTTCCTCCATCTCTGATGTCTATGAGCAAAGAACCTCTCACACCAGAGGTGTTGTGTTGTGAACCACACAAGTGCTTTATGAACGGAGGACCCAGGGGAAGTGCAGCGGTTCAGCTAGACCAGTGGTCCTCAATAGACAGCCGCGGGCCCCCTCTTTTTGGCCCCTGCACGCGCACCCCCCCTCCCCTGGATGACGGGCTGTCACATAGGGGGCTGGTCACACAGCCGAGGTGGAGGGGAAGGAACAGGTGTTGTTCTTTACAATGTAAGCTTTTGTGTTATGTGCATTACAGCCTGCAATCCAAACAGCGGGAACATCGCCCCCCCACCCCCATCCCGGTCCGGACCTCTTGCTTCTGGGTTAAGATCAGTAAATCAGTGCTCAGTGAACACCCCCTGAAACAGTCGCTGACCAAAACAGTTTACTTAGGGAGACACCGGCAGTACACGGGCCATCGCATGTCACTCAGAAACCTCACTCCAGTGTTGGTTCATCGATATGAGAGAGAGAGAGAGAGAGAGAGAGAGAGAGAGAGAGAGAGAGAGAGAGAGAGAGAGAGAGAGAGAGAGAGAGAGAGAGAGAGAGAGAGAGAGAGGAGAGAGAGAGAGAGAGAGAGAGAGAGAGAGAGAAGAGGAGAGAGAGAGAGAGAGAGAGAGAGAGAGAGAGAGAGAGAGAGAGAGAGAGAGAGAGAGAGAGAGAGAGAGAGAGAGAGAGAGAGAGAGAGAGAGAGAGAGAGGGAGAGAGAGAGAGAGAGAGAGAGAGAGAGAGAGACGAGAGAGAGAGAGAGAGGAGAGAAGAGAGAGAGAGAGAGAGAGAGAGAGGAGAGAGAGAGAGTCAGGCAACAGAAGTGGGTTGATTACTGCTTTGCATATTTTTCGGCATTCTCTCGATGAGCTTCAAGAGGTAGTCATCTGAAATGGTGTTCCAACAGTCTTGAAGGACTACATCTTGAAGCTCATCAAATGACAGTGGGTGTGTCAACCCTCTTCAACTCTAGAAGACCGCCTTGGGGAAATGGGGGCTGAAAAGACGTCCGGTTGCGTGCAGGATGAGAACAAAATTCAAGACTACCCGGGGTGGGAATGCTCTTATACCGACTCCAGGTGGAGTCTGGAGCTGATGCTAGTGTAGAAGCTCTATTAGAAAAAATTGAGCAGACATACCTGGTGCTGCAGTCTGCTTCCAACACATTCCCTGCATGTTTTAGATCATGAACACGGCTGGTTTGTTTGATTTAGTGGTGAATCACTCTTGTATACACCAAGGAAAGCTTGGGGAGACATTTCAGCTGTTAGATTAAGTGTTAAAAAGACGTTTTAAATGCTCAGGAGCTTTCGCAAGCAAGACAAAACTGCATGCCTAGTTCCTCTTCAACAGGACGATTTACATAACATATTCAGTTATTTGTTTAAATATACCTTCAATATATATGTTACTCTCTGGCTCATATAGACTACATAAAGGTTCCAAATAAAATTTAGCAATTGGACCGCTTTTTAAAGTCTAGGTTTGGAGAAATAGAGATTCGTTTTGATCATATTGACAGGCTAACTAGTAGTTCTGATCAGGGACCAAGACCAAACTTAAATAGTGGATTAAACTCATGAATCCCAACATGAAGTTATCTGAAGAGTAATTTAGATTTGATTAGATTTTTATATGAAAATAAGTATTATTTAAGTCTGTTGATATCTTCATCGCACTGGTTTGCTTGTTTATCTCCGTCTCCGTAACTTTTATAAAAATAAAGATTCTTTTACGTTTTGGAAAACAACATTCTCTGACATTATGGAAAATTATACAAATTTTGTTCTAAAAAAACCTGAAAATATTCCCCCAATTATTCACTGAAACTAAATGTGGAATCCTCCGCCCAACAAATGGCTTCCTTCTGCAACAATAGCCTTTGCTGTGATCAGACTCTCTGTTAAACCAGTTTGTCCAGTCACCTGCAAAAGCCAGAAAGAGGAGTATAAACCCAGGAGATTTCTGAGAAAAACACACATTTAAAATGTTTTTATTAAAGAAAGAAATGTATCTCCAGGTCATCAGATTTTAGCAATTTATTGTAAAATCAAGTTTACATATGTTACCAAAGATCTGCTTAACTAAGATAAAATAAAAATAAATGCCAGTCAAAGATGTCCTCAGGCAGTGCAGTAACTAAACAGCATTTTTAAGTGTTGCAAAATAGTAAAAAAAATAACACAGTACAAATCAGTTTAACCTTCCTTCATTTTTTTTCTAAAAGTCTGAGGTAAAAATTATCAAAATTCAATCCTTCATATTTTTCAGTGCATTTGAACATGAAGATTACAGCAGATTCCAGTGGAATAGTTCACATTAAGAGCAATAAAAAATAACAATCCCTAACATGTTCCTTTTTAGTCTGTTTAGATGCCTTTTTTAATAATTAATGTTGCTTTTTTATTATTTAATTTAAATGTTCTTGAAAATAAAACATGAAAGAATAAAGTGAAGCTTAAACAAAACCTTAGCAGATGTGATTAGCAGTGAGATATTACAGAATGGTTAACCCTCTAAGCAGGCGTTGCAGATTTGCAACGTTAAAACCTACCAACCTGGTTACTCCACATACGTATTTCATGAGCATTTTTTAGCTCAGAAGTGCCCCTGAAGGACTTAGTTGTTCGTCCTTTTATCAAAACTTATTTTGAGCCAGAGAGGTTTAAACATCTACTTCTAAAAAACCGTTATTTACAACAAACTTGGATTAGTATGAAAGCTTCTGTTTGTGCTGATGTTACAGGTATGTTTTTGGTGGGTCTGACAAAGTCTCGTCTTTTTCACTGATGGCTGCTAAAGTCTCTTCCATCTCAGCTTTTAGCAGCTGAGACTTTGACGACGGAGCATCGCTGCGTTCAGACATGGCTGACTCCAGTCTTTTAAGCTGAGACTTGGTTGATAGTGCTTTGCTGCATTCAGATGTGGAAGAGTCTGGCCTTCTCATCCATGATCTTTCTGAGCCCCCTCTTGATATCTGCTCCAGTCCGTTGTCCCATGGAGTCCTTGAATATGGCTGAGACTGTGTGCTTTGGGGTTTGGAGGACAGGAGTCGAATGGGCTGAGCCATGGCAGTGGGCGCCCTGCTTCGATGAGAACCAGCATGGATCGAACTTTTGGAGGAACGGACCACCACGTAACGAACAGAGGGGCTCTTGTTCGTGTCATGTTCTTTGATTGGGCACGCTGAATGGATGAAAAAAATGCCCCCCAAAACAAGCAAGATGGCCGCCCCCCAGCCGATGTAAAGACAAGCTCCGAGTTCCCTTCGTTGAGAATCCACGGAGGTGCTGTAGAAATCCCTCACCACTGTTCCAGCTGCCCATGTTGAGGCTATCAGACAGAGCACCCCTGTAGAAATCAACACTGCTCCTGCTGCTATAGCCAACTTGCTCTTGGTCCCACGACTTTCTTCATCCAGGAACCGAGTGCACTTTCCTCCAACAAAGGCAAGAATGAGACCTGCGCCTCCCGTAGCAATGGCAATGACCATGAGAGCCCTGGCAGCCTGCAGGTCATAGGTGAGAGCCAGCATGGAGTCGTACACTTTACACTGCATATGTCCTGTGCTTTCAACCACACAGGACATCCAGATACCCTCCCAAATTAGTTGCGAAGTCACAATGTTGGTACCAACAAAAGCGGACACCCTCCACATAGGGAGTACACAGCTGAAGATGACCCCAGCCCAGCCAAGGAGGCACAGGGCGCTGGCCAACAATTGGATTCCCATCGAAGACATGGTGGAAAGGTAAAGATCTTTGAAGCTGCTGAGAAATCCACACAGACCTTTAAGGAGTCCAGCTGGTTCTTTGATTCTGGGGTGCTTCGTAGGCCCTTGTTGAAGTTCTTTGTTAGTTTTCTCTTTCCATGTCAATCCTTCTCAATATAGACCCACATTTCCACACACCTCCGTAGCTGTGCAGCGGTTTTGTTACTGTGTTAGCAATGTTCTTTGCCGCGGGAACGAAGAGCTCTGACAGTTTCTGTTTATTGTCTTTCCTCCTGCACCCTTTCACTGCACAGCAGGTGTGTCTGAGTTCAGCAGCTCCCAATTTGTTTGCAGGCTGTTTTCATGTCTTTGTCCCTCCCCCTTTTTGAGTCCCTGGTTGCTGCCGTCACTTCCCATGTCCCTTCTCTCTCTCTTTTTTCCTACCTGAGAGAGGCTTTTGTCTCTTATCACCTGAGTGGCAGCTTGTGTGATACTGACAATGTGAAGAAGCACAACACCTACTCTACTGGGAGGAGAAATGGGAGGAGAAAGAGAGAGTATCAATGGTATCCTCTTTTTCCTCCATTGTTATTTTGGAAAAAATAAAGACGAGTTATGAAAGTAAAACACATAGTAAATAAAATTGTAAAAAATGTCTGGTATTGGCATTAGATAATACTTTTTAACAAATTCACAATTTCTCTTTTGTGCATGAACCAATACAGAAATATTTACAACATCCTGGGAGAAAACCACATTGACTTCAGCAGCATTTACTGTGCAGAAAAACTGGTTTGAGCATGTTACTCCGCCCATCTCACATCAAAATAGAAATCTTTGTCCTGTTCGTTTGATGTTGGTACAACTTTATTACTTTTCCAGTATTTCTGCTGATTTTTACTGCTGCAGGTAATAATTAATTCATGGTACATTTAGTGCCAACCAGCGCCCAAGGTAATGTATAAAAACACCTTCATCTAAACTTGTCAAAACTTCACGGGAGCAAGGGCGGAAATCCCATTTCAATTGGGGGGGGACAATAAACAGTTAAACTTCAGAGAGTAATTTTTTTTTGGGGGGGGGGGCATGAAAAAAATGCTCTCTACATACAACACTGTATGTCCTTATAAGAGACTGACCTGTGACTCTGTGCCTGTGTCTGACAGGCTCTGGCTGCCTGTGCTCAAGTGACTGGACTTTGCCTAATGAAACCATTTAGAAACAATTTCATAGGCATTTCATTTCTTTAGATGTCTTTATCAAAATGCAAGTTTCTACTTACTTGACGTTCTGGAGCATTAAAAACCGACCTGATGTCTGCCGTTTTTCGTTTCTCTGCCATTTCAACTCACCTGGTCTGCTGACAGTTGGACAGCAACACACACACAGATGGGATATTGTCAGAACGGAGCTGGAGGATATTGATCAACATCATCTTGCCAATTTAGTACATCTCCATAAGCATCCTTTCTTTTTGTTTTCATTTCAATAACAAGACTGTGGCCTAAAACGGAATAAGCAATTCAGAATAAAGATTTAAAAGTAGATCGTTAATAGTTGAAGCAACATGTCCTGAAATGACATGGCTATTAGCTGACCAACAGCTACACGTGTGGACGGATGCAAAGCATTCATTTTAAGTACTAAAACATATCTAACTTTTTCACAACAAAGAGAGAGAACAAAAAAAGTCAAATTAAATTTTTTTTAAATCATAACATGAAAGCTACTATCCAAATAGTTCCATATTGATTTTAATATATTTGAAATTTTCCTTCTAAATATGGTTAGAAAAAATAACAAACTTCAAATCAGCTTTCACAAGTCAAGTATCAAAATGACTGAAATCTCTTTAATAAATCATAGAAATGTTTGTAGGCTATTAGAGAATAACTCTGTAATATTTAATAACTTTATCTAAGTCCTACTGAACGAAAAGATACACAAAATCTAAAAATATATTCTTGAAATATTTGTTTCATTTTAATAATAAAAATTAAAAGCATTTACTTTACAAATACACTAGACATAATTATACATACTCTATAGTTTATCTTTCAGTTTAATCAATCCCTCACTTTTCTCAGTTTTCATGAGTTTTTGGGTCTGTGTGGCCAACGGGATCTTTGGCTCTATGTTTTACACTGGGAGATTTGAGCAGCGTGCCTCCAACACACATTTGCTGCAACCAGTTCATCCCTAAGCTGCACGGTGCACCTGCACTTTGACATATTGTAAACAACTGCAGAGCCTGGGGAAGACGTGATAAGAGCGGTTAAATGCTGTGGTATCCAGACATCGGACCAGTTAGTTTTGATTCTACCATATTCATCTGCTCAGGGGCGGATTTAGCAATTTGGGGGCCCAAGGCGAACACAGACATGGGGCCCCTTACACTAAATTTTCGACAATATTGCCTTTAACTGGATTTGCGAAACTCTCCCCTCTTCTGACATGAGTTATTTTCCATTTTTATTAGTCCTCCTCTTTTGTCCTAGCCTGGCAAGCCAGACTAAATAAATTTATTATTTAGTCTGGCCACGCTCCATTGACGGCTCTCGGTTGTGGGGCGGGTTCTACGGTTGTCTTTCAAATGATCTCCGCATGCTACTGGACAATGAATGTGACATACTCTTGTTTCACTCTGTTGCATCATCCCACCCACCAGGCATATAGAGTGCCCTGATTGGCCCACAAAGCGGATAAAGCTCTGTGATTCGTTCACTAAGCAGATAGAGCACTATGATTGGCCCACCATTATGGACCAATCACAGCTCTTTATGTGTTTGAAACCCCTCTAGAGAGCTGTGATTGGCTAGCCAGAGTCCTGGTAGGAGCTGTGGAGGTTCCAATGGAGCATGCCTAGACCAAACTTTGCAAAGCAAGAATTTGGTCTAGTTCACTAGGCTACTTTTTTCCCGTATTTCCCTCCCTTTGAGTGCTTTCAATATTTGCTCTGCTTTCTTTTTTCTGTCAGCGCTCCTGTGCTGTAGCCTTAGTTATTTTTTTTTTCTATTTTCCATTTTGGTCTGTTTTCCTCCCTTTAAACATTTTCCATTGTCTTTCCTTTCTGCCTCCTTTTGATGTTTACATCGAAAAACAACGTCACTTTCAGAAGTGAAGATAAAAGCTTTTATGAAGCAAGCTGCTTCTTTCTCTTATTGGAGCCACTAGGATAACTTCATGTCATGCTTAATGTTTTGAATATCGCTTTGAGTTTGTTACGAATGCTCCCGCCTCTCTTCTTGTTCTTATTTGTGGTCTTATGGCACTTGGCAAACAACAATTTGGTGCATTACTGCCACCAACTGGATTGGAGTGGAATGACTACCAATCACTTCCTGTTTGTGCATCGCAGTCTTAATAACCCTCTTATGACCATAATTATAACAGGGCCACCTGGTTTTTTTTTATCTTATGGCTGTAAAATTGTAATAAAAGTGCAAATTGTTTGTAACTCTTCTCCTTTTTTCAGAACAACCTCAGCTTTCAGTGTATGGTTTGTATTTCCAAACCACTATAACATTTCACGAAAAGAAACGTGAAGCCGCTTCTCCTCCAGCTTCACTGGCTGCAAGTCAACTTTAGGGTTCATTTCTTAATCCTGGTTCTGGTGTATAGGGCCTTACATGGACAAGCACCATCTTACATTGGTGATCTTCTTAGTCCCTACACCCCCAGCAGGTCCCTGAGGTCCAGTGATCAAAGCCTACTGGTTGTGCAGCACCCGGCTAAAGACCAAAGGTGACAGATCATTTGCTGCTGTGGCCCCCAGACTCTGGAACACTCTCTCCCCCTGAGCCTGAGATCAGTGGACTCAGTGGTCTCCTTTAAAAAGTAGCTGAAGACTCACCTGTTCAAGCTGGCTTTTGTATGACCTTCTTCACCACTCTCTCTTTATTCTGCTCTCCCCACCTATTCCACCTTCCTCACAGATTTCCCTCTTTCCTATTCACTCTCTCTCTTTCTTAACATTTTTTCTTTTAAATCCCAATTACCTATTTTTGCTCATTTTAAATATATTTTTAAATATTTTCTAAATGCTTTTTTATATTTATATTTTTGTTTTTGTGAAGCGCCTCGTGATTTTTATCTTGACAGGCGCTGTAGAAATGATATTTTTTTTCTTCTTCTTCTATTTAGAATGTATTTCTATTACAGCCTTTAAAAAATCTGCTTAAAAGTGAAAAAAGCAAAAAACGGATTTGAATTTTTTACAGTTATTACTGAACAGGAACTTCAAAATGACTGGGCAAACAATTTAAACTTTGATCTGTAATGCATCTATTCTTAAAAAAGTTTGAACCTTGGTGTCTTGTAGCAGTTTTTAAGACTTTATTTTTGTAAACTTTCAGACGTTTTTATTTGATGTGGTAGACCTTGAAGCAGTTTCTCTCCAGCTGCAGGCAGAGTCCTGCACACCTCACACCGCCATGGGGTGCTTCTCTGGCACACCGTGCACTGCTATACCAAAAACTTTTGTTTTAGCAAAAATAATTATTTATTGTAAAAAGATAAATAATGCTGGAATGATGCTGATCTTACAATTAGCAAATAGTTGAGGGTTGTTCAAATAAAAAAATAAAAAATAAAGACTGAACAAACGTTCATATCCTGGTTCACTGGAGATCTGTCCTTCTTCGTGGTCACTGTCTTCAGATATAAGCCTTCTGGGACACCTAATAGATCGTGTTGATTTTCTTTGAGGCATTTCCATAATTTCTTGCTGGCTTTTTATGCTGATTAGCTTCCCCGTTCCGTTATCCGCTTTCACGAGGCGCTGCGCTCCGTTTCAATCAGGCTGTACAGCAGGATTTCCCCTCGTAGCGATATTTTCCCTAACTCTGATTGCTTCATGCTATAGATCGATGGAAAGCTGCTTTTATGTACTTTTAGGAATCGTTGGAATTTCCTGAATCTGATCAGCCATTCAAAAGTTATACAACGGAGCATTTTGGATGACAAACTCAGCACGTCTCTGAATCTTTGTTGTGATTCGGTGCGCTCAAGACAGGGAATCCCGGTGGCTACCGTAATGTATTGTATATGCACGGAAAGCCCCATTTTTAATCTTTTCAGCACTTTTGGAATTTTAATGATATCTTGAACGGTTCAGGAATTATGGTAATGAGAAATGCGCATGTCCAATCCGTCTGGTAATAAGAATATTGTGGCATTAACAGAGGGGTGCCGGCGGTCACGGCTAGGGGGCCCCCCAACACAAGGGGGCCCCAGGCGGCGGCCTACCTTTGCCTAATGGTAAAACCGCCTCTGCATCTGCTAAACAGGATGAAACGCGGACATTTTCATCGATCTATAAAAGCTCCGCAGATTCCTGGGGCAGACCGTGAAAGCGTACGTGTCCAGAAAAAGGAACTTTTGATCACCTTAGTGAATGGAATAATTATAGCGGAATAATCCTGGAATGACCAGAGAGCATGAAGTGACAACTTTTTTTTTTACTGTGGTGGTGGTGGTCTGCCATAGAGGGATCTCCGACCGGTGATCAATATCTAAAGATAATCGATGTCTATGTTTGACATTTTTGACCACATCTGACATACATATTTAAGTTTGTAGAACAAGCGTGTGATAAATGACTTACTGCTGGAAACCGCTGGCTTTTTGATTCCCGCTTCCTGTGAGCGTGCGGGCTGCTGTGAAGCTGTGAGCGGGTCAGAGCCGGCAGCCCCGCCCGCTGGAAACAGCGCGTGTGGACCGACCGTACCAACTTGAGGAATTGGGGGGTGGGGGGGTGGGGGGTGGGTGGGTGGGTGGGGGGGGGGGGGGGGGCTATAATTTCTCAACAATTAAAAACACATTGTTTTGTATTTGCAGACTAACTTTTACATTGTGGTTTTAGAAGACAATACAGGTTTACTGATAGCACTTATGTGTTTACAATAACTTTTGTGGGGGGGGACAACTTTGTGTGAGGGGGGGACGCGTCCCCCCCCCCGTCCCCCCTGTCCCCCCTGGGATCTCCGCCTATGCTTGGGAGAACCCGTGTGAGTGTGTAAATATGCTTGTGTATAGAGCTCCGGGAGTTGACGTCACTTTTCCCGGCATGCAACAGTTCAAATCGAAACGGCGCCATATTGGCATGCAGAAGCCGGCAGCTGGACTATTTGTTATCGTCAGAAAACTCAATCAAACGGGAAATATGGTAGATTCCTGTTGTGCCCCAGGATGCAGAACAGACGCAGACGACATAAGGAATGAGCCATCTACAGGATTCCCCAAGATCCGGAGCGCCGCAAACGTTGGATCATTGTAATAAAACGCGCTAGTGACCGGGCAAAAATGAAGCTGTGGGATCCCGAGAGTAAAGGTTTTTACTAATGCAGTGACCACTTCATATCAGGTACTTAACCCAACGTTTCCTCAACTGTGTGTGGTATTTATTTTAAATGCTTTTATTATGATTCTTAGTGGGTTTCCTAAACTTATTTTGGCGTGGCTTTTTCTGTCTTATTACTCATAGCAACAAGTAAACATCACGTAAAACGTTGCCTCGTGAGTTCTGCGTGCTGCCGTTTCCATGTTTTATGATCACAGCAATTAACCGGCTAAGCTGTGTTTAATTTTTAAGCAATGGTTGATCAATTGTCAGATCACACACCGAGACTACTTACGTGTAAATCTGTTATTTGTCCGTCCATCCATCCATTTTCATCCGCGTATCCGGAGTCGGGTTGCGGGGGCAGTAGCGTGACTTCCCTCTCCCCAGCCGCCGGAGCCAGCTCCTCCGGGTAAATCCCAAGGGGTTCCCCGGTCAGGTCCAGTGTTGTGCCGGTAAGAAGCCCGCTCTGACAGCTTCTGGCGTCGGAGCGGGCAGTAGAGTCGAGAGTCCCAGACCTTCTCCCCAGCTCCTCCGGCCGGGGGAATCCCAAGGGGTTCCCCCGGCCAGGTCTGGTGTTGTGCCGGTAAGAAGTCCGCTCCGACATCTTCTGGCGTTTTTAAAAAGTATCCCAGGGGCACGGTAAGGGTTGGAGATGTTTAGTCTATTTAATTTCTGACTATATAAAACGATTTCTTCTGTTTTAAAGTGTGAAGTAAACTCCGACGAAGTAAAATCCAAGCGGATCCCGTTCATGTTCATGGTTACATCCGTGTTTGTTTACCTTTTTTGCATGCCAAAATGGCGTCCACTAACTGAGAGTCATGTGGGGTCCGGAGCTCTATATAAGGTTTCTCCACAGCATTGTATAATAGTGAGTGTGAGGGGCCACAGGCCTGCCCCCCAAGTCCCCTGAAAGACATGGAGGGAATCCAAGCCCTAAAAATGCAGAGACCCCCGTAGAGTTTGGGAACACCAGGAAGACCACCACCAGAGAAAAGTGGTGAGAAACCCACCCAATATGGCAGCGATGCTGTTACGCTCTCCAGCGCCCAATGGGGCATCTACATATTCATGTCTATGGATGGGATCCATAGCAGCTAGTTAGCATGCTATAAGGTGCTGTATTTCCTTTTACTCTCTCTCTCTCTCTCTCTCTCTCTCTCTCTCTCTCTCTCTCTCTCTCTCTCTCTCTCTCTCTCTCTCTCTCTCTCTCTCTCTCTCTCTCTCTCTCTCTCTCTCTCTCTCATTCATACACGCTCACCATTGATTTATATAGATAAAGCTAAAATAATATGGTTAACTTGCAGTTAAATATAATTATTGGTTCTCATGTCAAGGTTATAATGTTCAAAACAGAATCTAATCTAAGCACAATTTATATTTTGTGTTAGTGTCATCTAGTGGTGGAAGTGAGTATTGCACAGCTTAGGTTGTTAGGTAATTAGGTTTTATTTTAATTGATGTTTTCTTCTATGTAACTGTTACATCTCTGCAACACTGAATATGAATTTCTTTAGTCTCAAAATTATTTTCATCTGTTTTTAAATTTCACGCTTCACAAACCAACAAGACGGCGTCGTCATTCAGTCTGTTTGGTTAGACTTGTTTGAGTTGGCATGACACACACACCTTAAAACCTGTTTGGGTGGATTCTTTCATGACTGAAACAGACCGAACCTCTTTTGTTTTGTCGTTTTGTTGTCGACTGTTCATGAGTTTCAAGACAAAGGAAAAAAAGCCGATAAGATTACACACATTTTATTGTCACATACGCAAATAAAAAAAAAATCCAAGAAAACTTGCAATAAAATTGCTAAAGTTAAAACTTATTTTCAGTTAAAGTATTGACAACAGGTTTTAGAGCAGCAATCACTAAAGAAATCTTCAGACGAGTCCGGTTTTATACACTTCAAAATTTACACAGATCACTTAAAATTGATGTAAGTGGGAAAAACAACTCAAAAGCACTCAACTGAATGTTTTCATAATGGTGTATAAAATTAGAAAATCTCTCTAGATATGATGGAGAATGAAAAACACTACTTATTTTACAATATTCATGACTCTTAGATTCGTTATTTTAAAGACAGATCTATGACTACTCTGCCAACATTTTTGTTGTTTCATCACAATGTTTTACCTAGTGACACCAAACAACAGGCACAACTTATCAAATCTTCCTCTTCTGAGTCCAGATCAGTGCTTGGGGTCTAAACGTAAGCCTTGCTTTCCACAGACTGAGCCTTGGAGTATTTAGCGTCATAGTTATAGTTCTTTTCCTTGGGAGGACAGATGCTGCAGAGGAGACCTCCTCCGATGAACAGCAGCGCAGCGGTGCCCCAGCCAATGTAGAGGGAAGCTCCCAATTCCCTCTTTTGAGCATCGATCAGTGTTGGGTTGTAGAAATCCTGAATGATGGTGTGAGCCGACCAGCAGACGGGAACCAGCACCAGAACTCCTGCAATGATGAACATGACTCCAGCAGCAACGGCCACTCTGCTCTTTGATACTTCATCATCTATGCAATTGGTGCACCGTCCACCTGCCACACCCAGCAAGATGCCAAACAAAGCCGCAATGATGGCTATTACAACCAGAGCTCTGGCAGCCTGCAGGTCTTGAGGTAAAGCCAGCAGAGAGTCGTAGACCTTGCACTGCATCTGGCCCGTACTCTGGGTCACACAGTTCATCCACAAGCCTTCCCAAATAACCTGAGCGGTGACGATGTTGGAACCAATGAAGGCCGTGACTTTCCAGGTGGGGAGACCACAGATGATGATAGCCCCCAAAAAGCCGATAATGCCCAGAACAGTCCCCAGAATCTCTTTCCCAGCAGCCACCATGATGAATCTCTGTCGTTGCCTTTACAGATAAAAATAGAAGAAGTGTGTTCCAGAGAGCTAGAGGTGTGTTTCTGTAGAGGTGTGTTTGTTGCTTGCTTGAAAGAAAATCTGACCAGATCACTCTGGCTGGTTTTGATCTAAGGAAGAGGTCAGGGGAGGAGTTTGTCAGTATTGACTCCAGGCTGAAACTAGTATTTATGGAATTCTCACCAAACCGGACCTTTACAGAACAACAGTTTCGGAGAAGTGATAGAGATCCACAAAGACAAGCTTAAAAACAATCCATGTGAAATTAGCAATGTTTCTTTTCTTCTTTTCCGATTCTAAATTAATTTGGAAAATTTTCACAAAATCTAAAATGTGTGATGCAACTTATAGGGACAAACCCAATACCAGAACCAATGAGATATGGCTAACTCAGTTTTAGGATGAACTGTTTATCAATTCTTCTAATTTTATCTTTAATCCATAACCAAGAAACTACTTTAATACATCTATAAAAAATACAGATTTTTTGGTTCCATTCAGGTTGTTATAACTTTTTGTTGTAGATAAATAACAATTGTTCAATCAATACCCGTAACAGCTGTATAGGATTTAAACTGTCACTCTTTCCTGTAAAGGGACTTTCTCATCTCCTTTTTAGGCCACATCCTGCACAGAGCAGCTCATCTATAACCTCTGGTTCTGATCATAAATCAGATTAAAATCATTAAAATGGTACCTCTATGTCTATGTATTATTTTAATTTAAATGTATTTCATTCTATTTTATTTTTCTCCAGGGCAAAACAGAAAAATATAATTTAATGAGCATCTATGTTCCTGGTAATGATCCCCAAATGTTTTTTAAAGCAGATACTGTGATAGAAGAAAGAAAGATAAAATCCAATTAGCATCAGATTCCATGATAATCAGACTTTTCAAAGCTGTCATAGTGAATCTGCAGAAAAGCTAGTTTTTGATTGCAAACACTGTCACGGACCGCTCACCCCTCCCCTCGGGTATCTTCCCTGGATCAGTATCCAACGGAACCTAAAACCTGCGATGCCAGAGGAAACAAGATAATGCTAAACACCAGCCGCCATAGCTCCTAACGTCTTTTGCTGTCCATAACTTTAAATAATGTTTTTCTTTTCTGGGACTCATGTAGTTTGTTCTTAAGTAGAAGTGGTAGCAGTCTGCTGTTTCTCCTTCTCTGATGTTATAGACCAGAGAGCCTCTCACATCGGTGGTGTTCTGTTGCTAAATATGCAAGTAATGAATGGGAAACCCAGGAAAGTGCGGCGGTTCTGTGAGAACGTGCTATTGGCAGAGGTTGTAGACAAATGCAAGAGAACCACTTTATTATTTATTTCTTTGTTAAAATCTCCACAATATAATTATAGCTGTTAGAATGTTGCTAAGAGGCATGAAAAAATTGTTTTCGAAATTAGTTTTAACAGTTTCAACACGATTAGTAGAAATGCAGGTGCATTAAAATGCAGTGTTGTGCCCAAACGCGTTCATTCAACAATCGTTCATGAATTTGTTCATTTTTTTAATGAACGTGAACTGAACTCGTTCGTATTTTGCCTGACGAACGTAAAAGTGAGTCCGTTCATCCTGGCTTGCGTGAATGGGTTTATGAACGTGTTCTTTCGCTGTTCTAGCTCCAGATCTCCACGGAGCTTTTCCGGAGCTAACCCCTAGCTAAAACATCCAGTTAGCCATAGAGTTTATAAAAAGTAGAACCCGCAAATGCGGCCAAACATAGGCAGTAGTGGTTGGTGAGGCGTCTACTCTTCTACGTCTGTGCTGTGTGCAGGAGTCAAAGTTCATTCAGAACAATTGAAAAGGGACTTAACTGAAAGATTATACATTTTTAATGTTTTGCACTTTCAATATTGCACTTTGAGTTTGCTACCTCAGCCTGTTTCCTAAGATTGTTTAATAATTTCCCATAAAAAAAACTGTTCAAAGAATGTTTTCCTCATGTTATTGAGAATACACTGTAGGGTAAAAGCTGCAGCTGGGTATGAGTGTGGACTGAACGGGTGCCAACTATTGGGAAATTAATTCATTATATATATATATATATATATATATATATATATATATATATATATATATATATATATATATATATATATATATATATATATATATATATATGCATACCTTTCCACCTGAGTTATCACTAAGTTTGCAGTAGTTTGGTTACCTTTCCACCTGAGTGCACCAACAAATGGAAGAGTAGGTCATGTAGGGCTGACTAAATAATGCAAAGTAACCATAAACATTAACTTTAAAAAGCACCATGAGAAAGAAAATGATCTATAAGATCCTGTGTAACCAATATGCCGCATCAAACCTCAGAGAGGCTGACATCATCTCAGACATTCTCCCTAACAAACGCCACACCCTCAGGCATCTATCATCTCCTCTCCTGACACAAGACACTGGTTCTACAGTGAACCATGCAAACGTTTCTGAGAAGAAAAGCAGGAAAAACAAGGTTTTTGTTCTGAGTGGAAAGTAAATAAAAAGTGGCTTGCCTCAGTTGTGATGTTTTAAACTGTGGTTAGATGGCACTTTGGTCATAAACAGCACACCAATGAATCACAAATAGACACCATGTGAGCGGTCTGACAGCGAAACAAGATCAGTGTGTTAATGGGTTTTGTTGAGCAAGAAATAGCTGAGTTTTTGATTTGAGGCTTTCTCTCAGATTTGTTGGTTTTTAAATGATAAATGATAAATAAAGACAGAAATATGAAAAACTAAGAACTTCCAGCTTTTTAAACTGAACTATGTATTGGCTGATGTTAATCAAACTTATTTATTTATTTATTTTAGTAATCTGTTTTATTTTGTTATCTAATCCAAAACCAATATAACAGTAAAAAAAGAATAAACTTAGCCCTCATCACATGTAGTTCCTCCACCAGAGGGCAGAAGATGTGTAAAGGACTAAATCTATGATAAAAGTACTAATCCTAACACTCCATCTGGACACTTTTAGGCCAGAAGAAGTTTGATGAAAAGTTGCAACAATAATCAACAAAGAGTTAAGAAACATATCATGTTTGAAATCTGGAAAAACATCCAGTGTCGTGTGTTTTCTCACAGCATAAAAGTTTCACACATTAAACATTTTTCTAATCAAAAGCTTTAATGGGATTTTATAAAAATGTGTTAACTCATCTTTTTCCTGATAACTTGCAGAAATCTACAAAGGTTTCTCAGATTTATTGCAAACAGCATTTTTGTTTCATTTGATATGAACAATAAATCCAAACATGCTATTGCTAAACAAAAAATGAGAGATCAAACATGATCATTATTTGTAGTATGTACAAATTCTTCACTAAAAGTCTTTTTTGTGGAGCACATGCAGCAATTTAGAACTGAACATTTCTCTTTAAAAAAAATCTTTCAGTAAATTATCTACAGATATGTAAGTTGCTGTGCACTTGCATATGTTACACACAACCTCAGATAAGATCTATTTAGTTAAATAAAAAATGAAATAAATGTAAACACAGAACTATTTCAAAAGAATACAAAAAGTAAAGTCAGTTAAAGGGGACTTCTTTTATCTTCAGTGATTTTTGAGGGTTTATCTGAACAGCTTATTGTTGATCATCCTCAGCATCTGTAGGTGCCACACAAGATCCCACCCCCGATGACTTGGAGAACCCCTGACACCCAACCCACATATATGGATGCTCCCAACTCTCCTTTCATGGAATCCGTGGCCACCGTGCTGTAAAATCTTGTGATGATGATGTATGCATACCAGCAGACAGGAATGATGCACGTGATCCCAGCCAGTATAAACACCGCACCTCCTGCCATGCCTATGTTGGATTTTTTCCTCCTGTCGTAATCAAAGAAGTTGGAGCACCGCAGCCCGACCGTGCTGAGCCCGATTGCTATCACGCCAATGCCGATGGAGGAACAGACCAGGCCCCGAGAGGCCTGTTGGTACTGCTGCAAAGCCAAAACAGAGTCATAGGCTTTACATTGTAGTTGGCCTGTGCTCTGCAGGACACAGTTCATCCACAAACCTTCCCAGTAGACCTGAGCGGTGACAATGTTTGCCCCGATGAAGGCTGTCACCTGCCACATAGGCAGACCGCAGATGAGAATGGTTCCAAGAAAACCGATGAGCGCCAAACCAAAACCAACAATCTGAGTTTGCATGTTGACAAATGGTCCGAAGAAGAGGGCAAAGTTGACAGAAAAAATAATATCAACCGTCTGCTCATTCAAAAATCATTTTCAAATGTTTTTTCTTTGCTGTGAAAGTTGCCCCTTGTTACTGCTTGCTCTTGTTCTGCAGGTATGAGAATAGCAGCTGGGAGGGGACTGACTGGTTTGTGGATCCAATTTCCCGCTCAGCTGGAAAAGTATAAACAAAAGTGGTGAACACATCTAAAAGAGTTCTTAAATGTCAGAGAACCAGAATTTATTCTTGAAATGCTTTTTAAAGAAGCAGTGTGTATGACTTCATCTCACACATACTTGACTTGAAAAAGTAGGTGTTCTATTGGGGTGTATTCCTTTCTGCAAGCTTTTAACAGAACTTGCTTCTGAGAGAAACTCCAGGGCTCTCATTTATCAACTGTATTACATACAGATCTGTGCATATATCATGTATTGGAACAATTTTGCACAGTGTGTGGTTTTTAATCATTTCATACTCATGCGTAGAAATGTTCTTGAATATGAGAACAGCATCTAGTGGTAGAACAGGAAAACTACAACCCTAAACTGACCAAGTAGTAATTGTGTCTGTGAAAAATCTGTTTTGTCACATAACTGGTGTTACATCTAAAGACATGTGGCTGACAAGAATTTGACATTGTAGCATGGCTGATCTTGGGTTATTAGATTTGTTAGAGCGTGCACTAGGGAGGGGACAAGTCTTCCAAAAGCGTGTGAATCAGCTTGGCGAGAATACAAAGTGGCTCCTGAGCAGATACCACCTAAGGCATTTGAAACGCTCTGCCGCTCTGACAAACCAGATTCTGGTCCATTTTCATTTTCTGATGTGAACTCATGCAACATGCACATCGCATATTTCATAATTTGCCATGATCAGAAGTCACAGGATGAGTTCTTTTTTTTTCCCCAAAAATGTTTGACGAGGGCCCAGACCTTTAGACAATTTAGATCGAGAAACCAATTGTTCCATCAGCACTGAGAGATTTTATACTGAACACCATTTTAATGCCCCCTGCCTAAATTGAACCATTGCCTTTGTAATATCTTCACATGTCTAAAAGAAAAAAAAAATACTTTTTAAAACCAAACTTTTATTAAAAGACAAATTAAAATTCTTGAAGCAAACTTCAGCATCCCCAGGTGCAGCTTGCCTTTCAGGCACCACGGCTAGTTGCTGAGCGTGGAGCAGAGTATTTAACGGAGTACCGACTGTCCTCCGTTCTCTTGCAGTGACAACAAAGCAGAGCTCCACCGATGATCAGGAGTCCTGCTGATCCCCAGCCTATAAAGAGTGATGCACCCAGCTCCCTTTTCTGTGTATCAATTAGAAGAGGATTATAGAAGTCCATGATGACCACGTGGGCAGACCACGACACTGGGATGAGGCACAGGATCCCAGCAACAATGAAGCACACCCCAGCAGCAATGGCCACCCTGCTCTTTGCCTCTTCATGCTCAATGCAGTTGGTGCACTTCCCCCCAGCAATAGAAAGCAGGATTCCCAAGAAAGCAACCAGGATGGAGATCACAACCAGGGCACGGGCAGCCTGCAGGTCCTGGGGCAGAGCCAACATGGAGTCATAAACCTTGCACTGCATCTGTCCAGTACTCTGCTGCACACAGTTCATCCACAGGCCCTCCCAGAAGACCTGAGCCGTCACAATGTTGTTTCCAATGAAAGCAGACACCTTCCACATCGGCATGGCACAGATGATGATGTCACCAACAAATCCAATGCTTCCAAGCACCATCCCAAACAGCTGGAGGCCTGCTGCTGCCATCTTTGCTGCTTTGCTGCTTTGCTGCTTTGCTGCTTTGCTGCTTTGCTGCTTTGCTGCTTTGCTGCTTTGCTGCTTTGCTGCTTTGCTGCTTTGCTGCTTTGCTGCTTTGCTGCTTTGCTGCTTTGCTGCTTTGCTGCTTTGCTGCTTTGCTGCTTTGCTGCTTTGCTGCTTTGCTGCTTTGCTTGACCACCCAAACCAGCAGCACTTGCCAAAGATCATGCTGCCACTGTTTCTGTCAGCAGCATTTTTATATTCACATGAAGGCTGAAAGGTGTAGGCTGATTGGCTGGAGAATGTTGGTCAGAATGAAAACACTTGGGATTGTTTGCCTGAGCAGTAATTAGGCTGAGTGAACTCACCTGAGCTCATTAGTGAACTTCAAGATGAGCAGTTAGCATGTTTTTCCTCGAGTGACTTATCCTTGTTAACAGGAAACAACACAGCAGCTGGACACTGCAGGTAAATAACACAAGTTTACTTTCAACAAGAGAAAGTTATTGTTTAGTCTTGAGATCTTTAGAAAACAAGCTAATATTTTACAGACTTTGTCATGCAGGATGGAGGTCATTTGCCAGGTCATGTTTGTTCACGAGAAAAAGTTCTCCAACTATTTATCAGATTAAAATAAAAGGTTGAATAAAAATCTGTTTGGAATAAAAACTGCTTGCATGGGTGATCTTGTGTTATTGTAGGACTTACTTGGCAGAGTGCGCACTCTGGAGGGATCGTGTTTGCCTAGATCACACTGATCTGCTTGGTGAGAATACAGAGTGGCTCCTGAGCAGATACCGCGTCCTGAAGGAGATCCTTCTGCAGCTGTAGCGTGATTTGGGAGTCTGGAGCAACAAAACTCACAAATCAGATTCCAGTCCATATTCAATTAATTTGGGGAGTTTTGGCCACCGGGACCTTCCATCTTGAAATAGCAGATAAATCTGACATCTCAGCCATATTATACCGTTAAGAACGTTGTAGAGTTTTAAAACAGCTCAAAGTCAAACCTGTGACGTCCCTCGCAAGAACCCCCTCCCACTCATAACTGACAGCTCTGCAGCTACATTCAAATATTTCCAAACAGATCTTAAACTTAAACAGGACAATTCAGTGCATTACTGACTTTTCCACTTAGTTTTATCAATCTCTTTACAGCAACCTCTTAGATTTTTACCTCCTCTGCAACTTTCAGGTATCATTGTTTGAATGCTGTTAAGCACTGCTTGCCTTGCTTTTTTAGAACCTATTTTAATCCTTTTAACATTAGTGGCGCCTTCCATTCCACCTGGATCATGTCACAGATACATAACCCAAACCAGTATTACAATAACATAAACTCTTACACAAAACGCTCCTCTTGATAGAGCAAATCTGTTCAGCACATTCTGACAGACAGACCACCATTCTTCTGTCATGTTGCTGTACAGGACATTTTTAGAGTTTTTCTTTTTAAAGATCAATAGTATTACATTTAAAGAGCAATACTTTCACATTATCAATTTTCTCACACCTTCTGTATACCTGTATTTTATTGTTTTTCAATAAAGAATGACAAATTATTTAAGTTTATGGTTTTTTTAGCACATAAATATCTATCTGTAAAAAGTATCTACAAAGCTAATATTTACATAACAAGTATGATTTGGTTTTGCAATACAGCACTCTGTTTATTTTAGTAAGATTTTTAAACCAAGTAAAGTTAGTAAAGAACACATTTCTATTGGCTGCTAAGAAACTGTTGGACTTAAAACAGGCCTGTTGTAGAAACAATTTGGCATAAATGATTCTTCCTTCCTTTTTTGTCTTAACCAAAGAAATTCCAGTAATTGAGCAAAAACCTTTATTTTTTTACATCACATTTTATAAAATAACAGGACACAAAGTGTCGGGACATTTTAAAAATACTTAAAATAATAAAAGGGGCCCAGAGAGCTGCAGAGTGAGTGGGTTGTGAAGGAAGAACAGTTCTCAACAGTGTGATATGAGGGTGTAAAAGGTGAAGCCGGTGCAGGTCCTCCATCATGTTCACCAGCTTCACGCTGCTGACCACCCCCATGTCATTGCCGCCACAGTGGATGAGAAAGACATCAGGAGCTGCTCTTCCATGCATGGAGTTGAAAAAGAAGGGGAGAAGGTCTTTCCACCTCAGTCCGCCCCAACCGAACCAGGAGACACGGACATCAGGGAGGCCAAGGTTGTCTCAGAGGGTTTCTGCAGCTCTCTGGGCACCACGCTTTACTCCGCTGTCTCCAATGATCCAAATGGCTATGGAGAAAAAAATAACAGGTTTGGCCTAGCTGTTTAAAGTACAAAATCATACATGAAGTGGTCAAGACAGGTACTTGGAACTTACACTTGCTGCGTTGTGTAGCTGATGTTGGAGACACAGGCTGCCATGGTGACCTTTTAACAGATCTAAGAAAAAAATGTAATAAAAGAATGAAACTTAAAAACTCCCAGACCTCATTTCATGATTGCTAATCAGCTATGGCTGATTCATTGTTTGGATCACAGTGAGTTACACTAATTCTAATATATTTTTATTTCTATTACACATACATACTTTTTAACTGTTATTTTCACATGACTGTTATCAGACTGTCTTGTTCTGGTTCTCATGATAATAATTCTGTTTCTTCCAGTAAGTTATCTTGTGCATACTTCAATTTCAATTCAAGTTCAATTTGATTGACCGTCAAAAGGTGGGAAAGTGCCCCGCTCCCACCCAGCCCCTTGATTGGTTGAGAGAGGTCAATCAACTTCTGGCTAAATGGAATTACACACCCAACATGTGAGACATCAAATCGATTGGCTAGGCCTAAGGAATCCATCCATCCATCCATCCAACCAACCAACCAACCAACCAACCAACCAACCATCCATACATCCATCCATACATCCATCCATCCAACCAACCAACCAGCTTTATACACTTAAAACTAGCAGCATAGCTGACATTTTAACACTAGTCAGAAGGCAGGAACCGCCCCCTCCTCCTTCGCTGCTCTCTCATTGGCTGAAAGTTTTCAATCGTCTTCTGCCTAAAAGGAAATGTGCACCGCCACATATCGTACATCAATTCAACCTGCTTGGTCCCAGGAGTCTTGTATTAACTTGATATTGTGTTCTGCATTACCATGGCAACGTGCTTAGCAACAACATTTAACAACATTTTAGACACAACTGTATCAACATACTTTAATATAGAAATGTTATTCAAAGTTTAAATGAGTCATGTGTTATTGTCCATAGCTTTATTAATGCAGACTCCTGTCATCTGTTACCATGGCAACACAAGGAAATACAAATCACTTTAACCAAGTCTCATAGGAATGAATATAAAAAGCACAATACTGAGCCATTAACAGACTCCTGTTTTTGATCTTTTTGAACAGTTTGTACTTAAAACTAGAAATAAGTTCAATTTGATTGACCGTCAGAAGGTGGGAAAGTGCCCCGCTCCCTCCCAGCTCCCTGATTGGTTGAGAGAGGTCAATCGTCTTCTGGCTAAATGGAATTACACACCCACGCATGTGAGACATCAAATCGATTGGCTTGGCCTAAGGAATCCATCCATCTACATATAAATCCATACATGCTTCTATCCATCCATCCAATAAACCATCTAACATCCATCCAACAATCCATCCGTTATTTCATTCATCCAACCATTCATCCATCCCATGTCAAATCTGAACATATGTTAATCTATCAGTTTCAGATATCAGCAAATATTTCTAAATTCACACTTCAGCCAATTGTAAAAATGTACCCGTTAAACTATTCTCATTCAAATGCCAGCTGTTTAACATTTCAAATTTCGAGTTTGTAATAAATGTTCAAATGTTCAAAGATTAAAGTTTTCTGCTGTTTAGCATTTTTTATCCATTCTCCACCTATATTCTGAGCTTTATTACACTTGTTGGTGATTTTTGCTTCTAAATCATTCATTCAGCTCATTTTGACAGTTTAGCTTAGCTTCAGCTTCACTTCAGCTATTCAGCAGCCTCAGCAATCCGTTTCTGAATTCGGCTTATGCTACTCATTTCACAGTTCAACTAAATATAAAGATTAAACTGTTAAACTAGTCCTACTCAAATAACAAGTGTTTAGACATTTTTGCTGTCCAGATTTTTAAATAATGTTTAGATTTCAGTTTTCTGCTGTTTAGGATTGTTTTCTCCATTCTTCACTTTTTGTGCTTTATTTACATTTTGGTGCTTTTTTGCTTCTAAATCTTTCAAAACATTCAGCTCATTTTAACAGTTTAGCTTAGTTTCAGCTTCAGCAATTAGTTTCTGAATTCAGCATATGATGCTAATTTCACAGTTCAGCTAAATGTAAAAATTAAACTGTGAAACTAGTCCTACTGAAATAACAAGTGTTTAGACCTTTTTTGTTGTCCAGATTTTTAAATAATGTTCAGATTTCAGTTTTCTGCTGTTTAGGATTGTTTTCTCCATTCTTCACTTTTTGTGCTTTATTTACATTTTGGTGCTTTTTTGCTTCTAAATCTTTCAAAACATTCAGCTCATTTTAACAGTTTTGCTTAGTTTCAGTTTCAGAAATTAGTTTCTGAATTCAGCATATGATGCTAATTTCACAGTTCAGCTAAATGTAAAAATTAAACTGTGAAACTAGTCCTACTGAAATAACAGGTGTTTAGACATTTTAGCTGTCCAATTTTTTAAACAGTGTTCACAGATTTGAGTTTTCTGCAATTTAGGATTAGTTTTCTTGATTCTTCACTTACTATTTGTGCTTTTTTTGCTTTCACATCTTTCACTACATTCAGCTCATTTGACAGTTTAGCTTAGTTTCAGCTTACTTCAGCTATTCAACAACTTCAGCAATCAGTTACCAAATTTAGCACAAACTGCCAATTTCACAGTTCAGCTAAATGTAAATATTAAACTATTAAACTTGGCAAACCGAAATAACAGGTGTTTAGACATTTTAGCTGTCCAGATTTTTATTTAATGTTCACAGATTTAAGTTTTTTTTTTGCTATTTAGCATTATTTTTCTCTATTTTTCACTTTGTGCTTTATTTGCTTGTTGGTGCTTTTTGCTTCTACATCTTTCAAGACATTCAGCTCATTTTGACAGTTTTGCTTAATTTCAGCTTCAGTTCAGCTGTTCAGCAGTTTCAGCTATCCAGCATTCAAACAGCATTTGTGCAATAAATGCAATTTTTCCTAGTTTTGCTTGTTACGCTTCCGCTGACAGAACTGCAACCAATGCATTGATCTTTCACTCAAGAGTTTAGTTTGAAGGGAACTCAGGGATTTCCCTCACGAGCTTAAAGATCCATTAATCACACTAGCAAAATTACATCTCCAGATTTGATCCAGCCCCATGTGGAGCAGTGAGCTGTAGCAGTGGCCTTGACCGGGAGCCATTTGGTGGTTTAACTCCGCTAATCCAAGTTGAGTGTCAAGCAGGCAGGCATCAGGTCCCGTTTTTTTAAAGTCTTTGGTAATACCCAACTGGGATTTGAACCCCAGTCTCTCAGCCCCAGGGCAGACACCACTGTCACCAAGCTTAGGACATGTGACCAAATATGGTTATGGGCATTTCTGTATGCAAGTGACTGCACAAGCATTGTGCACATGGAATATGAACAATTGATACAGAGGAGCATGCAGACCAGTGGTCTCTGCATGTTTTATAAATTTTACAGGATGAAAGAATTTGTAAAAGCCTAGACTTTTGGAACATTTAACATTTGGATTTCAAAACCAATTTTAGTCCAGCAGCAAACTAAATCCTGCCACGAAATATTAGCATCATTTTAATGCCTTCCTGCCCAAATAGTCTTAAAACAATTCAGCAAATTTCAAACTGATGAACTCAATATTTGCATTGGTAGCATCAAACTTAAGTTTAAAAAAAAAAAAAAAAAAGATACTCTGTAAAATGGCAAAACAAATGTTTATTAAAAAGACAGGCAAATTAAAATCATAGCTTAAACAAACTTAAGCATCTCCAGGTGCAACTTGTCAGATTTTAAACATAAGCACCAGGGCTGGCAGCCGAGCGTGGAGCAGAGTACTTAACGGAGTACCGACTGTCCTCCGTTCTCTTGCAGTGACAACAAAGCAGAGCTCCACCGATGATCAGGAGTCCTGCTGATCCCCAGCCAATAAAGAGTGATGCACCCAGCTCCCTTTTCTGTGCTTCCATTAGGATAGGGTTGTAGAAATCCTTGATGACCTCATTGGCTGACCACGACACTGGGATGAGGCACAGGATCCCAGCAACAATGAAGCACACCCCAGCAGCAATGGCCACCCTGCTCTTTGCCTCTTCATGCTCAATGCAGTTGGTGCACTTCCCCCCAGCAATAGAAAGCAGGATTCCCAATAAAGCAACCAGGATGGAGATCACAACCAGGGCACGGGCAGCCTGCAGGTCCTGGGGCAGAGCCAACATGGAGTCATAAACCTTACACTGCATCTGTCCAGTACTCTGCTGCACACAGTTCATCCACAGGCCCTCCCAGAAGACCTGAGCCGTCACAATGTTGTTTCCAATGAAAGCAGACACCTTCCACATCGGCAGGGCACAAATGATGATGTCACCAACAAATCCAATGCTTCCAAGCACCATCCCAAACAGCTGGAGACCTGCTGCTGCCATCTTTGCTTGGCCAACCAAACCAGCAGCACTTGCAAAATATCGTGCTGCTGATTCTGTCTGCAGCTTTTTATATTCACATGAAGGCTGGGAGATGTAGGCCGATTGGCTGGAGAATGTTGGTCAGAATGAAAACACTTGGGATTGTTTGTCTGAGCAGTAATTAGGCTAAATGAACTCACCTGAGCTTGTTAGTGGTCGTTGTTTGGACTATATATGTAAGGTAAAAGTTTGTTTTAATGCACACAAACACTAAACCTTTAGTTTTTATTTGCTGAAACATCATGTAATATTTCAAGTGTTTTAATATAAATTGAGCAGATTGTTTGTGCTGCTAGATTTAAAATGAACAAAGGTCAAAATAAAAATCAGTAATTGTCATATTAAATAGGCTGAAAGTAAAAACATTATTTGCTGAAAAATGTGTAAAATATGTAAAAACAACGTTAACACATTTGAAAATTATAGTTCTTTTCATTCTTTAATGTTTTAGATTTGAGCAAGAACATGAGATTGTTTATATATTGTGTACAATTTCAAAAAACAGGACAATATTTCATATTTTATGGATGTTGTACAAAATAAAATGAAAAAAGCTTAAATCTAGTGGTTTAGAATCTGCATTCTGTGCAAAAGTGAGCTCAAGTTGCACCACTTTAAAGTCACTATTTTACATTCTGATATAAAATGGACATTGATGTTTAACACTCCTGCTATTTTTACTGAAGCCACAAGGGGAACATCTTTTCTTCTCCTGAGGCATTTCTTGGAGCATCACAGGGCTTCTTTATGGTGGAGAAACGCCTCCAAGCTCAAAGGGCTGAGTGATGGATGTTAACATGTGAGCACAGGAGCTAGAGCCCACCCAGTCGGGGTCATATAAAACTCCTCAACAGCAGCAAAACTTTATCAGAGGCTCGGAAAGCAGACCGAACCAGCCATGGCATCATTGGGGCTGCAGATTCTAGCTGTCACTCTGGCTGTGCTCGGATGGATAGGAAACATCCTGATCTGCATGCTGCCTCTGTGGAAGGTGACTGCTTTCATTGGAAACAACATTGTAGTGGCTCAGATCATCTGGGAAGGGCTGTGGATGAGCTGTGTGGTGCAGAGCACCGGTCAGATGCAGTGCAAGGTCTACAACTCCCTTCTGGCGCTGCCTCCGGATCTCCAAGCCGCCCGAGCCATGATCGTCATCTCCATCCTCTTCTCCCTGTTTGGCCTCCTGCTCTCTGTGGTCGGTGGGAAATGCACCACCTGCATCGAGGATGAAGCGGGGAAAGCCAGAGTATCCATCTCCGCAGGAGTTTTCTTCCTCCTCAGTGGAGCCTTGTGCCTTGTGACCGTCTCTCTGCCTGCTAACAACGTCATTAAGGACTTCTACAACCCCATGATTCCCGATTCTCAGAGGAGAGAGCTGGGTGCGTGTTTGTACGTCGGCTGGGGGGCAGCGGGGCTGTTACTAATCGGAGGGGCTCTTCTGTGCTGTCAGTGTCCATCAAGAGGAGAGCGCTATAACAGTCCAAAGTACACTCCACCTAAATCCACAACACCAGGAAAAGAGTTTGTCTGAGCTAAAAGGAGCTAACTTCACAAACAGGACAAACCTGGCCCTCTTAGAGCTGTCATTTGCATCATGACTAACCAACACAGCAGCTTACCAACTCATTTTATCTTCTCTTCTTTGCAACATAAGCTTGTTTCTCACGTGAGATATGTTTTATGTATATTTTTTATGTGTGTTCAAATCAAAACCCCTTTTATCAAAAATGCTGTTTACTTTTTGTAACTTCTCTTAACATCCAACAAGTTATTCATCTGTTTTCTGAACTGCATGGTTAAAAGTGTTGGGTAATTGCAAATAAAATGCATGTAGACATTTATAAAAAATTATATTACTCATTTATTTTATTATCATTTTAACTTTACTTAAAACTCCTCCAGGATCTCGATGAGCATTGCTGGACATATAGTTTTCACACTGATGCGCTCTTCTTCTCCAACTCTCAGTTTTTTTTATGTCTAGGTGGAAAACCCAGCAAATGCTGTGTTGGGGCTGAATGACTTGGATGTGAAGAGATGTTCTTAAAAATCTCTTAAAGCTCTAAGATTCACATGATGGTTAAAATCATAAGCACTGATGTCATCCTCCATTCTGCATCGAGAGTGATTTTAGGTGTTTCATTATTTTTAATAAACGTAATAATAAAACAAAGAAGAAAACACTAAACCAGAACTTTTTCATTATAAAAGTGTGATGGATCAAATTTCTTTTCAAAATGAAAACAGAAACTCTTAAAACAGCGGAAGGTGCATCGTGTTCTTTGTCAGGGCGGTTTCGGCTGGCCACAAAAGGCTTTAACTGTGTGAACCTTTTATACTCACAAAAGGAGAAATCATCAGAGCAGTTGAAGAGATCGAAACAAAATGTTGGAGAAAAGCTAAAAGTTTTTTGTGTTTCTTCAAAGTCAGCTAAATCCTCTCAGAGCTTAGATTTTCTGAAAATTCTCAGGCATTTTTAGGTCTCATACCCTGGTCAGACGTTCTCTATCCAGGCAAAGTAAATATTCGTTCTTTGCACATATAAAGCGGTTCCTCAGCAACATGAATCCAAGCTCGGACAGAGCACCATTGTCTGTGTGGGTCACATCCATTTTCCTCCAGACAGAAACTCTAAATCACCCAAATAAGCCCAAAAGGCAATCTATTACACAATCGAAACATCTCAACCTGGTACAGACGTTTATTCCCCTGAATTCCTGTGGGGTTGTTGTTCTCACAAAGAGAACATTTTCAGTTTTGCTTAGATTCAGAACAAAGGTGAGAGAAGACAAAGGCAGCTGTATTGACAAACACCATTTATTACTCGCTTTTGAAACTCATTTGGGGAATTTTGTGATTTTTAAAAAACTTTATGCATCATTTGAGCAAATCACATTCATGAAGTACATTAAAAAACTGTAAATACGTGACTTACAAAAGCACTTTTGTGACCAAAATCTTTTGTAATTGAGAGACTCACACATAGTTCACAATTGAGTATGCGCTTCTTGCAGGGATGAAGTTGGCAGACGTGTAGGATCTGCTGTCTTTTGGGGGGCAGTTGTTGGAGAGCAGAGCCCCTCCCATCAGGAGCAGGCCGGCCGAGCCCCAACCGATGTAAAGTGAAGCACCGAGCTCCCGTCTTTGTGCAGCGATCACCAAGGGGTTGTAAAAGTCCATTATGATCACATGAGCTGACCAAGACACCGGGACTAGAATCAGCACGGCAGCGATGATGAAAATCACACCAGACACGATGCAGACTTGAGCTTTAGATGCCTCGTCCTCTATGCAGTTGGTGCACTTCCCTCCAACCACGGCCATGAGCGTGCCGAACACCCCGATGATTATAGAGATGATCACCATGGCCCTGGCAGCCTGCAGGTCCTGGGGCAGGGCCAGCAAAGAGTCGTATACCTTACACTGCATCTGCCCCGTGCTCTGAACCACGCAGTTCATCCACAGGCCTTCCCAGATGATCTGTGCCGTCACGATGTTCGCCCCGACGAACGCCGTGACCCTCCACATGGGCAGGGCGCAGGCGACAATGGTGCCCAGCCAGCCGATGAAGCTCAGCAGGATCCCTAAGATCTGTAGTCCTTGAGATGCCATGTTGGAGCCACAGCAGTAGGTACGTTCACGTCTAGAAGATGATTAAACTATATTTGTTTTTCCAAGCTCTGTGGTCGCATCGGATGGCGGATGTATTTACTCTGATGCTCCAAGGTTTCACCACGAGACAATAAATGGTTCAAGTTTGAGGCTCAGACTTCAGGGTGGAGTTAATATCCCACCAGACAAAGGTGGAAAACCGAGACCTGATATCCACAAGTCATCGTCATTGTTCCCACGAAGCTTTGTTTCCACCAGAAAGGTCTAAAGATTGGGAACAATGGCTCCAGAGGCTAGCTGTGTTTAACTACACACACACTCACGCCCCAGGCAAGCCCTGAATCCATTTTAAGGGTTAAACTCAATAAAAATTCTTGTTTTTTAGACTTTGTTAAACCTGATACAGTGTAGTTACAGTCAGGGTTGTTAATAATGCATCAACCCTCCATTTACTGATGGCAGTAATGAGAAAATAGCTTTAACTAGAACCAGGATCCTTGAAGTAAAGGAATTTTTATTTTCCAAGACTAAACCGACCAGAAAATAAAATAAAGACTTTCCAGTCAATCTTAACCTCTCATTCTCAAAAAATGTTCACATGTACATCCAATGAAGGCCTTTAGCTTGAGGGTTTAGAGTTTGAACAACAGATTGGATCCACTTTGTCTAGTTTTTCAGGCACACCTAAACCAGATCAACCAGAAAGTCAAACAAAAGATGCGTCTCAGAATGCCGCAAGGGTGTTTTTCAACATCCTCAGCTTCTCTGAATGTGTAAAAGTAGAAGGTGAATAATTATTTTTTTTAACGATTTAAGGATTTTGAGGTTGTTTAAAGGATTGTGGTGACAAGAGCTCTGTGAAAGGAATAACACCACGGTCGATTTCAGAATTTAAACAAATTAAATTTATTTAAAGTACAAGTGTGACACAGTATCTCAAAACAAATAATTTTCAACATAGAAAAGACCAAAAGTGAGAATATATGTAAACAAAACAGATCTAAAAGGGACTTTTCCACCAAATGAAGTTTGCTGTTATTTTTTAAGGCTTAAATACAAACAATGAACCTTCATGATTACGTTTCTCTTTGACATGTAGTTACTTTTTCACTCTAGGGTTACACTTCCACCTCAGTGAAACATCAGCCCTCATGTGGAACCAGTTCGTCTGTCCCATTTAACTTGCCAGAGTTGCTTTAGACAAATTGTTTTCCAGACTGTGCCGCAGAGTAATCGGATCTGGCAGCAGAGTACTTTGCAGGGTAGCGGTTTTTCTCCTTTGGAGGGCAGTTGGCACAGAGCATTCCACCTCCGATCAGCATCAAAGCAGCCGCACCCCAGCCGATATAGAGCGAAGCACCCATCTCTCTTTTCTGAGCTTCGACTGTGAGAGGGCTGTAGAAGTCCCGGATGATGGTCTGGGCCGTCCAGCAGACGGGGACAAGGCAGAGGACTCCAGCGATGATGAACATGATCCCAGATGTGATGCCCACCTTATTTTTTGATGCTTGGTTCTCCACACAGTTGGTGCAGTTACCCCCAGCCACAGCAAGCAGGATGGCCATAATGCCCATCACGATGGCGACAACCGTGAGGGCCCGAGCGGCCTGGAGGTCGGAGCTGAGGGCCAGCATGGAGTCGTAGACCTTACACTGCATCTGGCCTGTGCTCTGCATAACACAGTTCATCCAGATACCCTCCCAGATGGTCTGTGCGGTCACGATGTTGCTGCCAATGAAAGCAGTGACCCTCCACATGGGAAGGGCACAAATAATAATGGCACCAATCCATCCAATGATTCCCAGAGCAGTGCCCAGGATCTGGAACCCCGCAGACACCATTGTTGATGGAGGATTTGCTCCTTGAGATGAAATTCAGGTAAAACTTCTGTGACTTTTTGGTCCTTAATGTCCTCTCTGTGTATCGAAGTTCCTTTGATGTATGTTTTCAGACCTGCAGGTTGTGTCTAAAGAGCAGAAGGAGTCAGTCAGGTGAGCGTGCTGAATGTGTGAGGATTCCGAGGAGAGCAGGTAAATATTCCCGTAGGAGGAGGAGCTGGATGGAACAGCAACACGCCCTCCAACAACAAAATTCCCCAAGCAGACAACCTGTTTAGTTTCCACCGAAAATCATCTTTATTCTTAAGTTACACAAATCTTCAATACTTCTACCACACATGTAAACACAAAGCTCTAACTAAATATAATAAAATGGCTAAATTTAATAGAGATATCGAATTGTTCAGCTTTGTTTTCATCCCATCCCACCTGACAGCCTCATCTGAATAGCAGGTGGGTGGAGTCCATCTCTAAGGGACAAGTGAGTCAACGTGTTTTGAATAACAATTCTTTTACCTGATCACCAAATATGGTCTCTGCATCCTGTTATGTTTTTGCATTACACCTTTAACAACTATGACTGACGCCCTGCCGAGATCAGAGCAGATGCACGTCACCACATTTAGTTCTGATGAGGACGTTTCGTTGCTTGAGAACTCTGAGAATGTTAAAGTAAAGTTCCAGTTTCACCCATGATTCCAGACACCAAAGCAGTTTTGTTGTAGTCATGAATGAGTTCATTAAAGATGCAGTATGTGAAAATTTGAGAAAATCCCAAAAGAGTCTAATGTTTCAGTCATTTTGGAAGGAAGATTCTACTGAAACATATTTCATATCCAGCTGGCTGAGGGGATTGTCAGTTTTTCTCTTTTCAAAACAAAGGAAGGAGCGACGTAACTACTGTTTACCATCAGTAGGGACGAGTACCCTTCACATTTGAAACAATTCACTACTAATTCCCGGCACCTAGGAATCGATACCACTACTTAACGGCACCAATTTTTATACTTTTGAATGTTTAATAATTAATTAAATATCTTTTAATTAAATATATATTATTTTCTCAATATATAACCACATTCGATAAATATCATGATAAATAACATACAACTGTTTGTATTTTATCATCACAGTATTGTACAAAATGCTTCAATGAAACCCTTTAACCACAACAGTTTCTAAATGATAACCCAGCGACCCCTATCCCTCTTCTATGCCCTCTGGAATAACCATGATGAAGAGACCATGTGTTTTAAACTACAAATGAAGACACTGTCCAAAATAGACGATAGAATAGCAATCCCTATTGAAAAATGGGAGGTGGATCTATCAGTCAGCTTTGACCAGAACTTCTGGTCCCAAACTTGTTTAAAAACTTTTAAAATGATCAGACACTCCAATTTACAATTAATTCAGTACAAAATTCTACACAGAGTACACTATACAGGTCATCGGATGTTCAAGATGGGGTTTGTGTCGTCTGACACCTGTACACACTACACAAACAACGTTCCTGACAATTACATTCATGCACTGTGGTCCTGCCCACCTGTCCAGGAATTTTGGGGTAGAGTATGTGAGGATCTGTCAAAATGTCTGAAATGTCATATCCCAACCACCCCCTCTTTTTGTTTACTGGGAAACCTGGACAATGTCCCGATTGAAACATCTTTGGTTCACGTGGTTCTGACTGCCATATGCATCGCTAAGAAAACTATCCTCTTGAATTGGAAAAATAGAGAAACTCTCTGCATTAACCAGTATAGAAATCTTTTGTTAGATCATATTACACTTGATTTAGCCTCTGCTTCCACTTCAAATCAATCTCTCTGGGCTCCTTTGATCCGTCCCATCACATAGCGATGATGGGGGACCATTGATGTTGTTGGTTCACGTGGTTCTGACTGCCATATGCATCGCTAAGAAAACTGTCCTCTTGAATTGGAAAAATAGAGAAACTCTCTGCATTAACCAGTATAGAAATCTTTTGTTAGATCATATTACACTTGATTTAGCCTCTGCTTCCACTTCAAATCAATCTCTCTGGGCTCCTTTGATCGGTTCCATCACATAGTGATGATGGGGGACCGTTGATGTTGTCCTGCGGGATGGTGTGGGGGTGGGGGGGTGGGGGGGGTGGGGGGGGGTCTGAGTTTGGAGTATCCGGATGATCCCTCGGAGTGGGTTCACTGGGGATGTCTGGGACTGGGGGGCCGTTGCCCCCCTCTGTTGTTGCTTGGCTTCCTGGGGCTGGAGGCTAGGAGGGAGATATGGCCATCTGGTTGGGGTCTGGGGTGGTGGGTTGCTGTGCTCAGCATTGGGCGGGGGAGCCTGCTCATCAGCACCCCAGCAGAAAGGGTCAAACTCTGGTAACCGGTGATGGTTGTACCCCATGTGCAGCAGTACCGGGACCAGAGTGAATAGGGAGTGTATGGGGAGCATGAGTGGGTGTCCGGTGTGCATTTTTGTAAGTCTTTGGTTGTATGTGCATGTGTGAGCATGAGGGAGGGAGTGTGTGACTGTGTTTGTGTATGACTGTATATGTTAGGTGGGGCCTTTGACTCCTCCCCTCTCCTGGGACTTCTTTTGATGATATAGATCTTCGTCTCCCCTGCCCCTGCCACACCTGGTGTGGGGTGTGGTGCCTTGGTCTGCCTGAGTGTTCGTGGCTCCCGGGTCAGGGGGTTTAAGATTTTTGGCGTCTGCCTGATCAATCGTGGTGGCGGCCTGGTGGGGTCTGGGTCCCTGGGCTCTGCTGGGTCCCCGGCGGGGGGTGGTCGCCCCTGGATCCCGGGCTCGGCCGGCTAGGGGCTGGTAGGCTGCGGGCGGGCCTCAGGGCTTGCCGCTGATGTCTCCCGGGACTCTGCCGGCTGCTGGTTGTGGCCCCCCGGGGCGATCCTCTGTGCCTCTCGAGGGGGGCGGGGGCCTTTCTGGTTGCAGTCTCCTTGGTGTTCTGGGGCAGCGCCTGGATCTCTGGGACTTGGAGCTCCCCCCGTCTCCTGCGCATCTTTGGGGGGCAGATCTGTGGTCCCTCACACTCTCTATTGGACGCTCCTATAGAGAAACCTTACATAAACAAGCGCGTGTACACACACAGGTGCTCACATGGTGCTCTCAAAAGTATGGGCTTGGGCACGTTAAACACATGTCTTAAGACTATGGTGGACACTTAATGCACTGTGATTTATTATCGTGTGATTGTTCAGCTAAACAATGTTGATTATATATTTCTTCATCAAGTTGACGCAGTGATAGCTTGATCTTGTTGTATTGTTGTTGTGTCCCTTTTTTTGTTGTTCTTTTGCTTTTTTACTTGTCTTTTTCTGCAGGTCTAGAAGCAGACTCTTGTTCATTATTGTTTATTTTTGTGGAACCCCCCCCCTCTCCCCACCTTTTGTCTTTTCCTTTCTCTTTCACCTCTGACTCCGTGTCTGGTCGGAATTACAAAGCATTCAAAAACAATGACAATAAAGTTTTAAGTATCAGGCGTGACATTAAAAGCAGACGTTTTAATGCTCCACCTGAGAGTAAATCTGTAAGGCTTGTTACCATCATTCAGACATCAATTCTGTTTGCTTCACAGCCAGACAGGACACGGTAAAAAAATAAATAAATATAAAGAATTAAAAAAAAAATACAAATGAAACCAAAACAAACTTCGATTTCATACAACTGTTTGTATTGTAATATTGTGGTGTTTAACAAACTAAAACCCAGCTCCATGCGTTCCTTTCCCCTCCGGACAAACTGTGTGATGGGTGTGTCATTGTAGTTTTATAAACCGCTAATTAAACTGAAGCAAACATCTTTGCTGTGAACTAAATGTACCGTGTAACTTCATTCCTTTTGCTCTTCTTTTTCAAACAGTTAATTCTTCCTATTCGGAGTAGAAAGCGAACGCACCATTAGCTGATAGCAACAGAAGCTAAAGTATCAAGCTAGCGTTATCTTAAACAGTTTATTTACCTGCTGAAGCAAATTAAGATGGTGATAACTCACTTAGAATGATGTCAGTGTTGTCATCATCACCTAGCCACCCATCGCATTTAGTGAAGTAGACCCAAATATTAGAACGAGTTCTTTTTACCATGCTACTTTCACTGTTTACATCTTGCCCGAAGCGAATGGCAACATTACGCTCTTGCACATACACTGCTGTCTACCTTGGAAATTCATTATCTTGCAAGCTCTTGCTGATGAAGGGCAGGTACAAAACTCTGGTACTAAAACAAGGCACCATTTTACATCACGTGAGTCGGTCCTCTGTCAGTTCTACGGAATTCGGTTGGTGCCTTATAAAGTACCAAATTCGGTACCCATCCCTAACATCAGTGAGTGTGGGGTTGCCATGTCTCCTGCGAGCTAATACTGCAGCGCAGACAAATGTGATTTGACAACGGCCAGCAAAAAACTCCAACGTTGTTTAAAGTGGTTGAAATAACCTAATTTTACCACAGGATGTCATTTTTATTTAATTTCTACATAATGCACCTTTAAATTATGACCAAATTTACACCCATCGTTGTCATTCATAAGTGAGAAAATATATGACAATAGCGCAATAAGTTTTTTTGAGTCCATGTTACCTAACACATATTTTATTTATTGAATTCAGGAAGAAATTTGTAACAATACCTTTTACAAAAAAAAAACACTTTAAAATGTCCAAAGTATTTCCCTAACAAGCAGATATTTCATGTGTCTCAACTGATGTTGACACCAAGGGAACAAGTATGATTTATTAAGAACAAAGTAGAACAAATAGGTTGTTTGAACTATTAGTGGAGGTCAAAGTTGAGAAAGACTCCGTGTGTTCTCTGAATCCAACAGAAGTCTGATTGTGTGAACCTATGAGATTGTTTCATTCCACAAAGATCAAAAAAGAGCTCAAAGTTTGTCTGAAAGAAAGAAGTTCTTGTGGGGAAATGTAACACACCAGTGTGTGTTCTGATTGTTGTAATGGAATGAAATGTTTCCTACCCTCTCAGCCTGTTTTTCCACTCTGACCAAAGGGAGGCACTACTTTATGCTTTATCATGCTGCTGTGTGCTTCAGGTGGAGCATGCTTCCTGAAAGATGAGCTGTCATGAATCTACAGAAGAGTTTCAGCAGGAAGCAAATGCAGCAGTTTACGCTTAAAACGCTCTGGTTCACGTTCGTGCTGTTCAGACTGATCTAACACTTTACAGGCATGCAGAAAAGCTACAGAAAAATTAATTTATGCAAGCAAAGAAATGTTTTAGATGATTGTGATATAATGATATACAGTTGATGAAATTGATCTGTAAATCATAATTCAAGCCATTAAATCTGAAGTTTCTTCCCTCCT